AATACCTCCCCTATTTTTCTACTACCTCATGTACGTACCCTCCCCCCCTCCCCTCCCCTCTATCCTTCACCCTGCTCTCCCCTCACTCTCCCTCCGGATAAGTCCCCACGCCTCTCCTCAGCCCCTTCTCTCCCCTCCTCTCGTGTATAAGCCAACATTTTCCCTCAACCACTAGCTCTCTCTCCCTTCCGCCCTCCATCCCTCCCCTCCCTGGACTACGTGAGAGCCCCCTCCTCCCCTTCTCCGTCACACCTGGGCTCACACACCTGGGCCAGTGTTTGTTTACACAATTAGGACGGGACAATGAGCCGCCAATCTAACAATCGACGGTAATCGGCAGTAAGCTGGTGGCGGAGTTATGATCAACGCACCTGATTGTTCACGTGCTCCTGCCTGCTAAGTGAGAGAGAGAGAGTTTCAACACTTTACTACCCCCCTCACACCACACCACAGTCCTCCAACGGCTCTATAGGTCTCTGCCGGTCACCCATAATAATGTTCAGGGAAGCGGAGTTACCTGTACGAAACAATTATTAAAATATTTACCTGTTTACCTACACAGACAAACTTCTCTTAACATGTAATGGAACAAATTTAATTAAAAGCCTCGGTACCACAACTTATCGTTTTACAGACTTATTATCTTTACTCTATACATATCAATATAATAATAATAATAATAATAATAATAATAACAATATTAATAATAATAATAATAATAATAATAATAATAATAATAATAATAATAATAATAATAATAATAATAATAACAATAATAATAATAATAGTAATAATAATAATAAAATCTTTAACAGGAAGCCAAATTTGATCACATTAGACAAGGGATTTACAGGAGTTCAGTAAAAAAGCAGATTATCCAATTGCACAGACTTACCAACGTATCACACATTGGTTTCATGGCGAGAAGACTTTGTCAGAATAAAGTAACAAATATACCCACTTTCCTTAAGATGACAGGCTGCGTGGACCAGGTTTTACCACTGGATGTACAGTGTTGCACATGGATTTTTTTAAAGCCTTTGACAAGTTCCACATGCGCTGGTAGTCTGGATCCAGGGTAGTCCATAAGCGGTACAGTACATTCAGAATTAAAAAGGAAATAAATAGCGTACCTAAAGAATTTATCTTGAACCCACTCTATTTGTGATCTACATTAACGAGATTGGTGAAAACATATCAAGCCACATTGTCATTTTTGGTGACGACACGGAGATGTTTGGGAAGATGGCAAGGTAATGTAGGAACCATGCAAGAAAGATCTGCATGAAATATTCAAATGGTGGCAAGACTGGCAAACACTTAAAAATTACAAAATGAAAGACTTTGCATGTGGGACACAACAACCCCGGTCACAACTATTTTGTGAAAATCTACAAGTGAAAAAAAATGCAATCAAAGAATTATAAGTCGTACCTTCAAATACAAATATAAAAAATCCTCTTTCAATAGATACACTGAAATTATTCCTGAACTAGAGGTCACAACTTAAGGTGGAATAAATCAAGTTCAGAAAACTGTCATGACATTTTTTTTGAGAGAGTTGTGAACTGTTAGAGCAATCTGCCAGTGTGTTGTGATGGCACCAAGGGTGAGCTCATTCAAGACTTGACCAACACTGGTGCAGATACAGATACATTGTAGAGCCAGGACTTGCTGCCAACAGTGTGTAACAGAGAGACAGTACATGCCCAGTACGTGCCAACAGTGTGTAACAGAGAGCCAGTACTTGCCAACAGTGCGTAACGGAGACGTGACCGATCGCCCAAAAGGCTAACAGACCGATCAGTGTAAAAGATAATAAAGTAAATTATGTTCATATTGTATTTTTTGCTTAACACACTTTTGGCCGCAACATATAAAGTGTATAAAATAACGTAATAAAGAAATACAAGATTTGGTAAAACTGCAGGTACGGACAATATGGCTCTCGAGGTAAGCAACGTGTTTTTCCGAGGGCTTAGACAAGTTTAAGACAATTTTCTTCCATGGCGTTACCGTCGCAAACGACCTAAAATTACCTAAACTAACCTAACCGGCGGGCCCCCCGTGGATCCCTCGGCAATTTTAGGTCATTTACAACGGAAACGTCATAGAAGAAAATTGTCTAAACCATCGGAAAAACGCATTGCTCAACTCGAGAGCCATATTGTCCGAAACTGTAGTAATATTCAATATTTAATGTAGTGTTTACGGACAAAAAAAATAAAAAGTACATGAAATTTAAGCTCAGTGTCCCCTATGAGTGAAAGTTAATCAAGTATCCCCCTACAGAGTAATGACCATTTTCTACTGTGCGGACCGACAACGAGAATTTAAATGATATACTATTATAAATTCTTAATAGAAATTAATTACCCAGGAGTCTTATTGTGTATGTTTTTAATGCCATTTAACAGAGGGTAATCCTGGAACAGATGGCTAACACTAGAACGAGTTGTTCGATTTCGTTCTTTTTTTTCCACTGATGTTCTTGGGATGATAGTAAGTAATAAAAATTACACGGAAATGCCCAGATAATGTATCTGTGCCTGCTCCAGTGTTGGTCAAGTTTGGCATTGAAAGAGCTCACTGTTTTCTGGACTTGTGGCTTCTTCAAGCTTGAGCTGTGACCCCTTGTGGGGCGGGCGTCCACCAGCTCCAGGTGCGGACACTCGACTGAGTAGTACCCTCTGAGATGTTTATAAACTTCGTCACCCCTTTCCCGTCTATAGTATAAGCTAGGCAGTTGCAGGCGTTCTAATTTCTCTGGGTAACTGAGGTGCCGTAGTGCAGGCACCAGTCTGATGGCCCTCCTTTGGACATTTTAAATCAACTGACAGTCTCTATAGCATATCTCGGGGACCAGACCGGGTGACAGTACTCCAAACGGGGAAGCACCTCACTCTTGATGACCCACTATTATAGTTTAGTTGCTTGATTCACCTTCTTCTCACAATGGCTCGAGAACTTCAGATCGTTGTCAACATGCACACCCAGTTCCTTTTCACGTTCGGTCTCTATTTATGCAGTCTCTTCGTCCCGTTGGGACAACTGATATGCCTCTTTATTGTTGGTACAGTTGCGGAAATGTGTTCCTACACTCCCATGTGGTAACCCACGTCTCCAAACGGCCAACCTATATGACCTATAGCAAACCTATCCACCAATCACTTCCGTCGTTACGCGACCAATACCCATTCATTCATAAATAGTGATACTACTACTGCGACGGTGCCGTTTGGAGACACGGGTTACCACAGGGGGTGTAGGAGCACATTTCCACAACTGTACGACTTAGGTGTATCCTCTTACACTTCGTGACATTGAATCTTAGCCGCCATTTCTTCGATCACTCTTGAAGTTTACAGAGGTCTTTCTTTGGCTTCTTCGCAGTCTGTTTGGTTCTTAATTTACCTGAATAACTTGGCATCGTCCTCAAACATTTCTTTGGAGGAATGTATAGCTTCTGGCATGTTATTTATGAAACAAACAACAACGGACCAAGTACACTACCCTGACGGTACCCTGTGGTACCCCGCTTGTCACGGGTACATGTGACGATTTCGTGCCATTAATCACCACACACTGCTTGCGGTCTTGAAAAAAGTGTCCAATTCACGCTGGGACACTTTTCCGAATCTCGTACCCTTCCAGTTTAATTCTCAGCCTTTTAAGGGGTACGCTATCGAAAACCTTGGCAAAATCTACATATATTAAGCGCTGTTCCAGAATTTTAGTCCAAACATCCAGTACCTTGAGTAATTGTGTTAAGCAGGAGTGTCCCGGCACAAGACCATGTTGGCAGTCCTTTACAAGGATGTTTCGTGGTAGATGTTTCCTCACGACATCTCTTATGATGCTCCCTAGTACTTTACACACTATGCTGGTAACAATCGCCTTGCTTGAATATTTGACTCACATAAGCCATTTTCCAGTCCCTGAGGACCTTTTGTTCGTCCAGGCAGTTACAGAACAGGATCTTAAAAGACTACTCTCCCTTACCCTAACGCATACTTAAGCCTAATAACCTTAACCTAACATAATATTAACCTGAAAGAAGATTACTCTAACTTAACCTCAACCAAACATACCCTAACGTTATCTCAGAATATGGCCATAATACTGTTATAAATCACGTTCAGTAGATTCCCCCCTCAGAGGGGCACAACATGTGGGAATGACAAGGTGGTATAATTGAAATGGTTTAATAACTGTAGGATATAAATTGTATAATTTTAATATTGTTTATTGTAACGTAAAGTGTGATTTTTTTCCCTTTGGTATTACTTGGTAAGTTTTAATATTTGTTATCAGAATTTTTTTTAAATTTGTTTACCCTTTATAGTCCTCTTGTCCTTCTTGGTGAAAACCCAGAAATAGGATATGTCTTTTTAAGACTCGATGGTCATAATCTGAGGAAATAAAGATTCCATTTATTTTGTTGCGAGTCCCAGGTTCCCCCTTAGACTGTCAGGCACATTTTTTCATCCCTCTACACGTGAGTTCGTAACAATTAACATGAAATAAAGTTGATACCATGTCCTGGGTTCATTCCCCGGCTTGGGACAGATGTGATACAGGTGTTGTCCAGTGTGATCTTGGGAAAAATGGCAGGTTTTCTCCGGGTGCTCCAGTTTCCTCCTATACTAACACTGGACGATAAAGTTCACAACAAAGTTAAAAAAAAAAAGACCAACTGCCCGAACAACTAGTAAATTGATACGTGGTGAAATAATAAGGAAAAATAATAAATAGATAAATAAATAAACTATTATTTGTTCGATTATAGCCCTTCCAGCTGCTTTACAATGTTGAATTGAAGTTAAAAAGACGTCAAACTTTAATTTCAGCGTTGATTCTACGTCTGAAACGCCGTCGACTGCCAGCTTGGATGGTTCAGTATTTGCAAAAAAATAAACTATTGGAGGAAAATAAATATCAAACTGTCCTCTGTTCTTGCTACTACAAAGAACTTTTCATTTATTTTAAAACTATTTAGCAATTTCTAGTACATAGTTTGAAAGTTTATTTAGCCAGTATTATACAGAAACAAAGTAAGCAACAACGATAAATTACAATGTACTGTAGACGTGGGTGAGCCTTACGAGGCTGCAGCTGTCTTGTAATTAGTTCAGGGTATATTGTAGTATTTACTTCCACCGCTGACACTTTTCAATTTTGTGAAGTTGTAGTTTGATGATAATATATGATCGGTTCACTGAGTACAGACCAGTTACACAAGGACCTTTCCTTGATTGGTCAGGCATCACCCAAAGACTACCAGAAGTAATGTATTGGGCGTCAGAGGCAAAACTATTAAATCACACGAAGACCTTAATGTAACTAGGCAGAGCAGGTGGCTGATCAGAACGCTTTGACAGATCAGATCGTGGGTGGCTGGGGTGGGCGTGAGAGCATAGGGAAAGTGCGTAGCCGGAGCGTGTCCAACTCATGCTCCAAGTCCAGTATGATGGCCTGGCGCTGCCTGGCGTGGGTGGTGAGGTCACTACACGCCATCACTCGACGCAGCCTGGTAGAAAATGACGCGTTAATTCGTGAAAACTAGACAGATAGCTAGATACATACATGCATGCAATACACACATACGTATATAAGAAGGTAGATAGTGTATTCAGTTATATCGCCATACAAGTTTACATTGACGCAGCATGCACAGTACAGGGATACAAACAATGCACAATAGACAATGCATGGTACAGGTGCATAGTGCAGGTATATAAACAGTGGTAGTCAGAAGTTCATTTCCACCAAGGACAGCCTAACAGCCGCCATATACACCTTACAAGCTCACTTGCATACTTATTGTACGGTAAGTTAATTATATATTTCAACGTGTACGTGTCGTCAGCTACGTGTTTTACGGTTTATCACTATTCTCCCCTCTCTCTAACTTAGCTTACCCTCTATCTTTTTTACCTCACTCATCCACCCTCACCTGTTCTCCCTCTTGGCTAGGTGTAGCTCCGGTTGAGCCTGGGCGACTTGCGTTTGCAGGTCATCGATCTCCTGTGCGAGATCATCCACTTGACGCTGGAGATTGCTGACTTTGCGGCGCGACTGTCGGAGCTGCTTAACCACCTTGTTGGACCCCGCCGCCATGCTCTCCACCCTCTCCCCGTGAATCTGTGGACCCATACACAACCAAACAGGTGCTATATACCGACCGATCATCACCTACACAGAAAAGCTTTTTACCGATAATCAAATGGATACCGACGTTCAACTACAAAGATATATCTGAATTTTGCACTTATCCCATCCACATGAACAGAGCTGTTGGACACACACCTTGACAGTTCCCTCAACACACAAACACCTTGACACACACACACCTTGACAGCTCACCACAGCATCACCTATGGGCTTTGATCACATTATATTTAAGGGTTTGTAATTCAGATTTAAGTTTCATCCAATCAAATCAAATCAGTTCATAATTGAAAGAGGTGAAACTGGGCTTTCTTTTCACCTCATGATTTTTATCTTGTTATAGCATCATTAGGAATAATCGAAGTACACAAATTCACGAATGAAAACTAACAAATCCACAATTAACAAAGCCACACAAATTTGAATTTGATATTTTTTTCGGGAGGGTTTGATAGAAAATTATAATAAGCCTTACCGTGATACCTTACTTGACCTTGAGGTTTTAGTACACTTACTTCCAATTTTTTATACACTACTTTTTTCTATGGATCATACTTTAGTTTTACCTGTACATAAGAATAAAGTCAATTATATCCCCACCAGAGTATGAGGTTTAGTTTCGTCTCAACATTCTTCAGTTCGTCCTTTCTGAACTCTGTTCTGTCTCAGAGACATAATTTACTTGGCAAACGGTCCTAAATGTTTGTTGATAGAAATGGCAGAATTTTTTTCTACTCTCGTCATACTCGACCTGTTGGAGGCGCTGGAGAGAAGCATAGAGCTGGGAGGGGTCATGGTGTCCACTTCCGGCCACTGCATTGGTCGCTGCTGCCATGACGTCCCGACCGACCTGTGCGAGCAATACATGACAAAACTTTAAGAAAAAAGGTAAATTTATACATATTTACATATAAATTTTGTCTTTGCTATAAATCATTTATGATTTATAGCATTTATGATTTATACAGCAAAGAAAGTGTATAACTGTTTTTTTGTCATACATTAAGGGAATTGATTGTCATGATGAAAAGATGATAATTTTGATACACACACACACACACACACACACGCACACACACAGTAACCCGGCACTTGCCCTGAAGCTAGAAGGACTAACCTAGAGGATAGATATTTACCTTGAGGGTGTTGATATGGTGGAGGTCTTGACGAGCCAGCTCCACCTCCAGCTGCAGTTGTCCCCGAAGTGCTCTGAGCGCCTCCACCTCTCCATTCTCACCTCCACCCTCTCCTACACCGTCCGCCCTCTCACTCTCTACACATTTCTGCAAATCCGTAGCAGAGAGATAGAAAAGAGAAATGTATATTTATTTATAAAAAATTAGTTTTTTACACTGTTTTCTCGTCTTAATTTTTGAAGTCTTAATTTTACGTTATGCTCTTAACTATACGCCAATTTACAAGCCGGTGTTTCACTTAATAAATACAACAGCCCCATTCCTTAAATGAGTTTCGTCTAGCGGAGAAACTCAAATATTGAATCATCTAAATACATATAAACACCTCCACCACTGACTACAACAAATTACACTCTTCGTACGATAACTAAACCATTGAGTACGATAATAATCAACGTCTTCGTACGCACACTGTGAACAAACAATACCTCGGCTGTGGTTTCCAGTTTCTTGAGTTCCTCGTGCTTTACCAGTCGTGTGTCGCTGAAGTCTGGATTCAAGAGTTCCGTCATGGCTTCTAGGTCCACCTTCACCTGGCCACTCTTGAGTACCAGCACTAGCTCCATGTCCTCGTCTAAGAGCCTAAGGTCTCGGCTGGTCCTCGATACGTCCTCGTCAAGCTGACTCAACAAGTTTAATTGGCATGAAGATGCTATTGTCAGTGTCATTAATCATTAGTTTATTACCTATCAGATAGTCTTGCCTATATGTAGCAGCGTTATTAGCCCTGAATATATAGTATGTAGTAGAACTATTAACCTTGAGTATATGTAGTAGCACCATTAGACCTGAGTACAATATATGTAGTAGCACCACCACTAGGCTTGAGTATACGTTGTAACACCACTAGTTCTGATTAATTATATAGAAAGATAAGAGATAGATATATAAATAGAGAGAGATAGATAGATAGAGAACGAGAGACAGACGGATTCACCTGCTTGGCTTCCTGTAGGAGAGCTTGGTGTTTGGTGTCCATGGCCTGGAGGTGGGCAGCTGCGGAGGTCTTCTTGGCTTGGGTGTCTTCTAGTTCCTCCTGCAAGTCCTGACGACGACGGCGGTAGCGTAGGAATTGTCGCCAGGTCCTAGTGCCTCCCGTCAGTCCTTCGGGCATTATGTCGTCCCCGAGTCTGTGTTAGGTAAGGGGAGGTCTCTCTCTCTCTCTCTCTCTCTCTCTCTCTCTCTCTCTCTCTCTCTCTCTCTCTCTCTCTCTCTCTCTCTCTTAGCCCCAACAACTTAAAATCAGGTTACATCATTTTAACAAATCAAGATCATTTTATACACCTCTGCTTCTTGTAGTCTTTGGATAGTACAGGTGTGGAAAACTTTACCTTGGGGTAGTACAGGTGTGGAGAACATTACCGTTGGGGTAGTACAGGTGTGGAGAACATTACCTTGGGGTAGTACAGGTGTGGAGAACATTACCTTGGGGTAGTACAGGTGTAGAGAGACTCACCTGAGATCGTCAAGAGGCCGTTGGTCGTCGCTGTGGGAGGTGCCGCTGGCGGGTCGTGAAGGCCTGATACTGCTACGACGTGTGCCGCCTCGCTGTCAAAGGTCACTAAACGTAACCCAAATTTTCTCTAACGTTATAAATCAAAGACTCGAAGTTAAGATTTATTAAATTAAAATCACGAAACTTTAGTAAACATCAATAATAATTATGATGTTGTAGATCACAAAACTGAAGTGACACTTCGATAAATCTGTATCACAACTCTTTAAATCAGGGTTCAGATTTAGAACTAAAAGGTTTAATTTAAAAAAGCATTAAAACGTTTCAACCATGAACCAATGAGTATGATAACAACCCCCCGTGAATACAACAAATTAAACCCCTGAGTATGATAACAACCCCATGAATACAACAAATTAAACCCCTGAGTATGATAACAACCCCATGAATACAACAAATTAAACCCCTGAGTATGATAACCCCATGAATACAACAAATTAAACCCCTGAGTATGATGATAACCCCATGAATACGACAAATTAAACCCCTGAGTATGATAACAACCCCATGAATACAACAAATTAAACCCCTGAGTATGATAACAACCCCATGAATACAACAAATTAAACCCCTGAGTATGATAACCCCATGAATACAACAAATTAAACCCTCGACTTAATTTATTGAGTGAGGTGACTTTAGGTGGTGATATTTCTAAGTGTTATAAGCGCTACTTGGATTGAAGGAGCTACATCACAGTGCTCTTTTGTTTCATGCTTTCATTTTATGCAGTGATTTCATTAATTCTCGTATGTGTGTATTTTGTATATATTAGTTTATAAGAATATTACTATGCCTTCTTTAACAACTGAAATAAGTAAATATACAATAAGGGTAGAAAAAAGGGGAGAATATTGGAGATGAATTGAACAAGTGAGGAGTGTGAGAGAGAAAGAAAAACTATGCGAAATAAAGAGAAAATAGTTAACCGAGGGAATTAATTCTCTCTCTCTCTCTCTCTCTCTCTCTCTCTCTCTCTCTCTCTCTCACCTCGGGCGTGGCTGGGAGGCAGGCTGGGCTTTAGAGGCGGCTGGGGGGCAGGGCTGGAGGGGGAGTGAGGGAATCGACACACCTCCTCCCATCCCCCTCCTGGGACCCCTGGCACTGATGGGCAGGTCGAGGTGTCTCCGCTGCTCAAAAGCTTTCCTGCTGCATCAAAGAAAACAACAACAGGTGAGTTGATCAGTAATATAGACAACAAGTGACTTGATCAGTAATATAAACAACAACAGGTGAGTTGATCAGTAATATAAAAAACAATAGCTGAGCTGATCAGTAATATAAGCAACAACAGGTGAGTTGATCAGTCATATAAACAAAAACAGGTAAGTCTACCGTTGATAAACATAAGTTAACAATACTTTCCTTTGTTGGCTCTATCGTTATCTTTATCTCTCTCTATTCCATAGACTTCAGCTCTTCATAAAATAAGCAAGTTTGGTAAGTGTCAAGTGACCTACGTAGGTGAGCGATGTGCGCGGCGATGTGGGTGACGGTGACGATTGCGAAAGGGGGAGTGGCGCCTGAGTAAGGGGAAGTGACGTTTGAGTGAAGGAAGTGACGTTTGAGTGGAGGAAGTGACGTTTGAGTGGAGGGAGTGACGTCTGAGTATGGGAAAGTGACGTTTGAGTGGAGGAAGTGACGTTTGAGTGGAGGAAGTGACGTTTGAATGGAGGGAGTGACGTCTGAGTATGGGGAAGTGACGCCTGAGGGGAAGTGGTCCCTTGGGAAGTGGAGGGGACACATGGAAGGGAAAGGATTTTAAACGCCTCCTACTGACATGAACATGTACTGGACTCACAAGACCACAGGAGATCCGAAACACTCCAAGACTTACAACAACGATGCTGATGGTACAGACCTCCCGTCATTATCCAACTATTACCTCCTATTGTAGAGACCTTACTACTCTAACCTTTATTTATTCTAACTTTTTTCGGCCTTGCTAACCCTCGGTGCTTGAAGACCAGTAGAAAAATAACGATGGAGAGTTCCTACGCAAAGTTGTTTACGTTGTGAAAGATGGAGGAGAGTCCAGACAAATACATATGTATGGACTTGAACATACAAGTAAGTGTATGTGTACCTGTAGAGCATCAAGAGGTGGTTGTACTGGTCTATCGGCAGGTTGATGAGAGCCCTCCTCAAGCCCACCTCCTCCTCCTTCAATTGTTCCTGTATCCGCTCCTGCTTCGCCTTTGCCCTTGCCTCCTCCCTACTGCTGCCCTCTGCCTCCTTCACCACCTGCGACACCCGCTCCTCTACCTGCAGTAGTGAGAGTGAAAGAGAGAGGGATTGGTTCACGATGACCAACCTGGCGGCGTCACTCCTGCAAGCCCCTAAGGATGCAGGCATTCAGAAAGACACTAACTCTCAAGGACCAACCTGACAGCGTCGCTGTTTGAGATCCTTAAGGGTGTCGTTGAGATGGTCTTGTTGAGCGAGGCGGTGACGCAGCCTGACGGTGACCAGATCGTAGAGCAACAGCGCCTCATCCGTCGACACCCGCGAGTCCACCAAGCTGATCACCTGACTGTCGAACTCCTGAAGAAGACTCTATAGAAGGTGGAGGTGAGACAGATTTATACTTTCTTTCTCTTTCTCCTTCCCTATTCTTCACTCCCCACCCTTCCTTCCTTCCTTCACTTTTCCTAAATTTTTCTCCTCCCTCTCTCTCCCTCTCACTCACTCACCTTGATGGTAGGAATGATCCTCTCCAGCTGGAGGGTGAGGGTAGTGGCGTGTGCCTTCCTCTTCCTGGCCTCCTCATCCTGGGCTGCCTTCCATTCCCTCCACGCCCGCGCCTCCGCCCATGTCCAAACCTCCCGCGGCTTCTATGCTTGTCATTAACCAGGAAGGAAAGAGTCAGATGAAAATTACCCAGTTAGAATCAGGTATTATAAAATATTACGGTAACCAATGGGAAGGAAATTTGTGAGAGTGGTAAGCATGGCGCACACATTCTGGGGGAGACAAAATGGCTCAGTTTGGGGCCAAATTGGCAAAGGTTCGCTCGATGAATATTCCTCGTACCTGAAGATGTAACAATGCACCTAAGGTAAGGTATAAGTTAACCCCCTAAAATAACTTCAAAATTATACTTAGACTTAACTATTCTGTTTACTCCAAGCTTGCAACTGGGCCAAATCAAAGGAAGGTCGTGTGATTGGTCGAGTCACGCCTGATGGATACAGTGAACGAGAGGGTGACGCAATAACAAACGCTGCTGACCGTTTTTAACTTTTTCTTTTCCACTTTAAGATATCTACGCTATCAATGTGTCCCACGTGCTGATTTTTACTTTCCCGGCATCGTATATCATTCTAGATCAACACTTAATTGTTAATATTATATGCAATTACAGAATAAAAAAAATTAAGTGATGAATTTCTAGATAAACCCAATGCACTTCACTCCGCCAGCCAATGCGCTGTATTGATAAAGTATGTCCTAGGCTCTGGTAGCAACTGTTAGGGGACAAAATTCAGGTAAATTAGTGAAAAGGATATTTTCAGAGGGATTCTCTACCATTGCATGAAGCTAGGATAATGTATATAGATATGATAGACTCTTGTTATAATTTTGTTCATATTTTTGGGATTGTTGGTGCTTTAGCTTACACCAATCTGTTACAATAAAGACATACTTGAGTTGCGAGGAGTATTCACCGCACCAACCTCTGTCAATCCTCACCCAGGGAGGCTGCAAGGAGTCGCGCGCATCACTACCTGGAAGAAGTGAGTCGTTGACGACGCCTCGCCATTCTCTGTTCCCATATGTCGAGGTCCTGATAGAAACGCCCTGGCATCTGTCCACGCTTCTCGAGCCCCTGCTGTTGAAGGTGCAATAACAGCACCGTCAGGAACAGCACGAGGAGTCTCGCTGTGATTGGACTCCTCCTTGGTCACCTAATGACGAAAAGAGTAACGTTATTGATGGGTTTTGTCTTGGGATGGAATAAAGTGACGTGATTGGTCCGTGGGTCTACTCTTCGAATAAAAGCGAGTGACGTGATTGGTGGGTCTACTCTTCGGATGAAATAGAGGGATGTGATTTAATAAAGACAAACAAACATACAGACTGATATTAAAATAGATATACAGAAAGATAAATACACAGATAAGCAGATAGATAAATCGATAGACAGAGATGGATCGAGAGACAGAGAAAGAGAGGTGGTTAGATAGACAGATAGAACAATAGATAGACAGGGACAATATATAATCACCTCAGTATCATCCACTTGCAGCATTAGTTCTGGTCGTTCCTCGAGTTCCCAAGACGGTTCGTACTCTTCTTCCTCCTCCTCCTCCTCTTCCTCTTTCTCTTCCTCCTGACAAAAGATTAAGATATATATTAGAGGTCTTCCTTCCCCCTCCCACTCTTTTTTTTTTCTTTCTAACTCACATTCCATCCCTTTTCCGCCTCTTCCTTTGTTTCCTTCTTCTTTCATTAAATATATCTACTTTTTAATCCTTCTCTTCCTCCTCTTGGGGATGAAATGACCAACATGATGCTAGTGTTTTTTTTTTCTTCCTCTTAACTCTCCTTCCCTTCATGCCTTCTTTCTCTTCCTCCTATTTTTCTTACTTAACTTGTTTTTATTCTCAATTTCTTCCTCCTCCTTATTAATTCCTTCCGTTACTTATTCATCCTCTTCAAACTTCTCTTTCTAAACTCTCCTCCCCCCTCCTCTTCCTCCTATTTTTCTCACTCTTTCCCGCCTCTGTTTTTTCTCCCACGAATGAAAGAAAGTCTTGATGGACCTTTAATCCCTTTCCATTCTGTTTTCGTTCCTCTTGTTATCGCCCTAGACGGAGTTGGACCTACCTGAAGGAGGGTAGGTGTTGGCACGCCCTCGGACGCACCTCTGGAACTGGTACTGCCGCTATGTCCTCGGCTCTTGTCACCTCTTTTACGTATTCTCGACAGCTCCTCCTGGGGATGGGGGGTACAGTAGGTGAAGGCGATGATGAGGTAAATGTTTGTTTACAACTTAATTTCATTCTTTTCCCCCTCCCTCCCTCCCTCCCTCCCTCCCTCCCTGCTATGACACAATCGATTCTTCAAAATATACCCTGGGCTGTTGAAGTTAAAGAGAGAGATGTAGATAAAGAAGCCAAGAGAGAGTCAAGGCCTCAACATGTACAATACAGTACCTTGAGCTGTCGGCGCTTTCGGGTGAGTCTGTGCACCTCCTCGATGACTCGCCCCTTCCTCTGGTGAACAGCGTCGAACCTGGTGTTGAAGCCCTGCTGGAGCCGCCTCTTCAGGAACTGTTGGAAGATGGGAGGATTATTGTATCTCTTCATTGTTTTTTATCAGCTTAATTTCAGATTTTTGTATCCTGTCACTTTTAATTAGTTTTACTTTATTCTCTTCGCAACTGATCGGTTTGTTGGCCTCTTGGGTGGTCGGTGACATCTCTGTTGCTAATTTCTTCTTCGTTTGTTTTTTATTTCGGAAAATTTTTAATGTTGTGGATGTTCAATTATTATAGAAAATGTAATGCATCTGATGTGTGTATAATAAAGGATACTTATTAAAAAAAACGTGAACTTTGAGGACTAGCTTCCAGACAAAAAAATTGACTAATAAATGGTATACTTAAAACAAATTTTAAGGACCATTTATCAAAGAAACTGTATTTAGCGAACAAATATTAGGGGATACTCAATTAACTTTAATCCGTTACTGCCTTACCAGCTACGTCGAAAGCTCAGGAAATTTCTGCTCGTCGGGAAGACCATCCATCAAAGAATTCACATTTAATCAGTAAACTCTGTTAGTCAACTGAAAATCTAAAATATAGGAGTCATCCATCGGATAAAAACATTGTTTAGAATGATAAACATAGAGGGCATTTTAATCAGAACATAAATTCTGTGACGGTTGGGACTCACTGCGAGGAGGACCAGCTGACGCTTCACCCGGTCTCTGCTGGTCAGTTCGAGCTGCGGGTAAAGCAGATGGCGGTACTCGGCTTCAGTCAGGTTAGGTTCCACGTCCTCACTCTCGCAAATGTCCACCTCGGTCGCAGGGAGCTTTACCTCGTCAGGTGCAGCCTTAGCTACGTCCGTTGAAGCCATCGCCACATCCGGTAAAGTCTCCTTCTCCAATTCTTTAGAATCTTCTTTCCCTACTTCTTTTGAAGTCCATTTCCCAACTTCCTTGGAAGGCTTCCCCGCGTCCTTGAAAGACTTTCCCGCAGGTTTCCCCCCTGCCGGTGGAGCCCCCTTCATTATAACCCTTGAAAATACTCCCACCTCCGTTGTGGCTTTCTTCCACACGCCAGCCTTCCTAGTACGGCTAGTGGGAACCTCACTCCTAGAGGACACTTGAGTGGCTTCTACCTCCCGTAGCCTGAACGGTGAGGAACAAGTAGATACCGAAATATGAAAGGCGAGATACACAGAGAGAAATGTTAAATTTTAAGGAAAACTTTGTAAATACTTAAAGAGAGAAAAGACAAAGGATGCTTCACAAATTCCAAATTATTAAAAAGAATAATATAGAATAAGAGTATGGTGGGGGAGGGGGGTCTCACCTCGCCTTCACCACATTCAAGACAGCCCACCACGCCCCTGGTTTGGGTACCATCACTGGATAGTTCCTCACACTGACGTCACTACAGATGCACTGCAAGAATACCAATCAGAAGCTACATTTATATTTACTTAGAAGGCCTCTTTCCTTGTGGTTATCAGCATATATATATATATATATATATATATATATATATATATATATATATATATATATATATATATATATATATATATATATATATATATATATATATATATATATATATATATACAGTGGTGATGAACTCACAAAGAGAGAGCGAGACTTCACTAGCATGTTGTCCCAGGCAGCTTCCTTCAAGTGGTGACACTGTAACAACTTCTGCAGCCTCGCCCGCTCCACCTCCCGTACCACGCCCACCTCCCTGTCGGGGTTGTGAGGACGTAAGACACTGCTACATGTAAACAGGCCAGGTAACTAGGATGTAAGTTATATGCGAACATGCCAGGTAACGGGTTTAAGTTATGTGTAAACAGGCCAGGTAACTAGGGTCTACTGTAAGTTGTGTGCAAACAGGCAAGGTAACTAGGGTCTAAGTTACGTGTTAACAGACCAGGTAACTATAGGTACATGTAAACAGACATTATGGAAAGTCCTGGTATTTGAGGGTTAGAAAACACATGTAGAAGCCTGGGTTTAGCTTAATATGTTTAAAATTAAAAACCACTTATATCTACGCATGTTACTATAAGGTTGTAGTGGATCTCTCCCCTACAACTACATCCGCATTCCAATGCGACAGTATCCTAGCAACCAGCCAACTGCTCGGGGGGGGGGGTCGCCACCTGCTACGTCTTCCCTAGGTCTTCCCTAGCAACGGAGTCAAGAAACGGGTTTACTTTCGGCTGCATGTATATAAGCTCGCAGTCTCTCCATTGAAACATCTGAGAACTGCACCTCGGCGAGGTAAGATCTTCTCTGTTCCCGAGGTACTACGTGAACCTGACGATGTTCACCTGTAACCAGGCGAAGGCCGTAAGACTGTACCCAGTCACATGCCCTTCGCCCAAGCAACTAAACCTCCTTGTCCTGAGGAAGTATTTTGACTCCTCAGGAATCACGGGGGTAACAAGGGTCGTCCTCAGAGACAGTGGTGGCCTTATCGTCACCTTCACGGAATGGGGAGAGGCCCAGCAAATAGCCAACATAACAGAAATTAACAGGATCCAGATGCTAGTGGAAGCTCGCACAGAGGACAACTTGGTGTTGGGAGTCATCTCCCACACCGAGATTGAACATCTTGAAAAAGAATAACTGGCCGAGCTGATCGGAGACCAGCTCTCAATAGTACAGAAGCTGACCAGTGCAACTACGCTGGTTGGCTACCCCAAGAAGCTACCAAGCACCGTTTTGCTGGGATGGGAGAAGATCCCAGTAAGACCGTATGAAAGAAGACCAACAAGATGTTACAAATGCCAGAGGTACGGCCATCTGGCGCGGAAGTGTCGTGCTCTGGAGGTCTGTTGGTAGCTGCGGGACACCCGGGCACCAGGACACCAACTGCTCGGCGGCCGCCAAGAAATGCGCAGCTTGTGGTGGCCCTCACTCCTCCTCCGACCGGGAGTGTCCCAAGTGGAGGGAGGAGTGTAGGGTGGCTAAGGTGCGAAGTAAGGAAAAACTGAGCTACAAGGAGGCTCTCCTTGTAGTGAAAACTGAAGAAAAGAGGAATCAAGACCCGAACAAGACCACAGAAAATAATTATGAAGACCCCAAGAAGACCACAGAAAAGAAGCCAGAATTAAACAAGACCGAAGAAAACGCTATATTAACATTAACACCGTTTATAGACGTTTACAAGAATATACCAGAACAAGACCAAGAAGAAGAATGGAAATTGAAAAGTAAAAAGAACAACAAAAGGAAGAAGTCCAAAGAAAATGACTCTGCAAACAAACAGCTTCGGCCGAAATAGCCCAATTGCGAAGTGGCCAGTAATCCCCAATACAAGTACCATTGAAATTCATTCTTCTCTAAGTTCCTAAACACGCAACATCTCTAACGAAGCTCCTGCACAGATACCTCCTCAAGCACGCTACTCACTGAACGTGTCTCTTGAGCAAGCCTCTCACCACACGGCATCTCCAGCACCAGACTGTCTTTCATATAATATATTTTAAGTAAGAAAACCACCACCTAGAGTTTCCATCCATCCATCCTGAGTGCTAGACAACATAATATTACGTAAACCTACAAGGTCATTACAATATTGCTTCAGTCCGACCTCAATACCCCCAAATTTAAGGATACTGACAAAAAACGACCGTAATTGACGAGTTGACCGTTCTGGGTAAACACAAGAAATACACCCTGCCACTTTCGTAAAGTGATACGGTATATATAATTTGTAATAAAAGTTTAAAGTCCTGCTATAATAGTCAAGATAAGTTGATTTCTCTAGAAACAGGGCCGCCATTTGCAATGACGTCACCAGTTTCCCTGCAGCCGACGTACGCATGGAGCTACGAGGCAATTGAGAAGTAATGACATTGTCAGGACTTTGTTTTTTGAGAATTCCTGATGCTAGGTAAACATGACAACATGGGGCTGTTAAAGGGTAAAATTTTAATTTAACTACCATAAGTATTTTGATGTTTAGATTCGAGATAGGCTATATAAGGTAAATTTTAAGTTTCGGTCATCCCTGTACTTAGTCATGCAGACTGTTTTTTTCTGATGGTTTGCGATGTGTTATGAACGATTTTGACCTTCAGTTCTATCGGAAATCACTAGTTTTGAGTTACTTCCCCCACCCCCCCCCCCTTACCGGTGTATGTTAAGCTAACCTTAAAACTTATAATATAACTCATCATACCCTAACCTAACCTATGACCTGCATTTTCTTATGCTATAGAAAAATGTTTTGCGACAGAAATCCCATAGAGATAATGTGTCTTATTGTTTAAAGTACTTAATCCCACAGTTAAAATAATAAGGTTCCCCAGATGACCAAAACCAAAATAATACCAACATTGTTTGGAATGTTTATACGGTACTATGAAATTTGTAGTAGGGGCAGCTAATATCCATTGAAAAAGTTAATGTGCTTAGTAATATTTATGTATTCAATATAGCATTACTGTATTGCACAGTAAAGCACAATTAATTATCTAATAATATTTATTTACAGAGCTGATCAGCTGAGAAGGTTGGTCAACTACTTCCAGGGTTCATCAAGGCAGATGAAAGAAATTTACCAAAAGTAGATGTCTTTATGATTGTAGAGTATTATCAAGAACTCCGCCATCCAGCTATTATGCACGTTAAATTACATCTGTCATCTGATCATCTCAAGCCCATCCCCTGGTCATGGTCGTCCCTAGTCCTTCCATAACATTAAATATAGACATCAGTAACGAAAACTTATATTTTCCAGACATGAAATAGAGAACAGTGATGAAAACTTCCATGTTGGAGTTATCGGTCTTTTTTATCATTTTGGCAACCAGCAAGTAAATACACACGATGATACTTGAGCAGTAATTTATTTTAACCCAAAAATAAGGTACGCCTGTGTATATCAACATTGTATATGGCCAAAAGTCCTGTAATTTTGCTGGTAAACAACACATAATAATGGACACTATGTACACCACGGCTGGCTGCCTCTACGCTCCCTCTCTGCAGCTGGAGGGAACCAGTGACGTCACAACCAATCACAGAGTTTTTCATTCACGTGACTTTTTAGCAACTTTAACCCTTAATTTCTACACTTTTGGGCCTAATTTATTTTAAAATATCATTACCATAGTGAATTTAAGCGTTTTCTTTACCCATTAACCTGCCATCTTATGAAAAAATTCCGACCGTCAATTCGGGAAAATGTTGCGAAGTTAAAGTTCTGAGGGAGAAGTTGTCATAACAGGAGGCCCAGTTCAGGAAACGTAGCCCGAGTTAAGGAATTGTTGCCAGAATAAGAAGCCAGTTTTCCTACGCCCCCCATACACAAACTTTATACATCAAGAACACCACAGACACATTCCTCCGTTTCCACATCATCTCCTTAACACACATACCAGCACACATCCCAACACTATATACAGTACATACACACACACTCACACACACACACACACACACACACACACACACACACACACACACACACCACACACCCTAGCATCCTCACACACACACCCTTGCATCTTCCCAGGCACCCCCTAGTATTCCCACCCCCTACACACCTCGGCATTCCTCTCACACACACAAAACCTAGTAACCCCTTCTCCCCCCCACACGCACACACCCCAGCGAGACTGTCCAGCGTCCCTCCCACACGCACACACCCCAGTGTCCCTCCCACACACACACATACACATCCCAGCATTCCTCCTACACACACCCTAGCATCCCTTCCACACACACACACAGCAGTGTCCCACCTCCCACACTCACATCCCAGAATTCCCCCTACACACTCTCCAACGTCCCTCCACACACACAGACACACACACATCCAGCGTTCCTCCCACACACACACACACATGCACTAGCATTCCTCCCACTCACATACCCCAGCATTTCTCAAACACACCACGAATGCTACACACAAGCGTTATGTAAACTCACGTTTGCACGAGTTTATCCTGGAGGGCTGCCAGGCGCCGCGGGTTGAAGGTAAACTCCGTCACAGGTAACTGGTGCTCCCCGTCCACTTGCTTGTTCTCCTCCAGCAGCGTCTCCAGCTGGTAGAATACGCCAGTTCATTTATTCTCAGATTTTATCCTAACGTAACTTTAAATTGAAATCTGACTTTACCGAACGTGACTTTAATTATTACTTAATTCTAAGTACAAACTTAACCTATCCTGACCCTGGACTTACAGTACATCTATCCTCACCTAATGTAACCCACCTCTGGATGTATGTACGCTTAATGTATTATCATCTAAGCCAGGATACAAAATTTGCTTAATCTAACTCGAAATGTAAATATAACTTAACATGGGATGTAAAGTTAACATAGCTTAACTTAACTTGAGGTGTAAACCAACATCAATAAGTCAATGACACTGGTTTTATTGCTTAACGGAGAGATAATTCGTGGTGTGAACCCGCACAAATACAGTTGTGGTTAGGTGACTTAGAGAATTGCCGCAGAACGTAAACGAAAGGAAAACGAGCACAGTTTTCATTCATTAATGGAGTGTAAACGTGTGATACAAACCAGGGAAGTGAAATTATGATGATTTTATTGGTTAATGGAGATTTATAGCAAGTGAAACGAGGTCATCAATTTACTGAGACTGATAAGAGATGTGCAGATGACACTTATGCAGGAAATTTCTGTATTTTAAATAGAAAGAAATGCACGAGGAGAGGAGGGAGTTCTACCAATGGCACCTACTGTACATTTTAGTTGTCAACAGGACATGAGAGTCCGTGTTCTGCTTACGTACAAAATCAGGCCCTTCTTACAGCCTCTACGTCAAGCTGTATTTGTCATTTGCTTACATTTGATTAGGCGTCAAAAGTTGCAGGTACTTATTGCTGGAGAGTGGAGACACTTACCTGTTCACAGAGACGATCAACCTCCATCTTCAAGGAGTCGTAAGCGCCACCTTCCCCCGCCATATCCTTCCTGTGTGTATGACGATTTGTTTTGATTGATTTTTTTTTTACGGGTTTAGCCCATCAAAGCGCAGGTCAATGACCCACCTCAGGGCCTGGGGGAGAAAATATAATAATAATAAATAATAAACATTAATAAAAAAATATTAAATAAAAATATTAATATTAATAAAGGACTATAAATAAATACAGAAAATCAAAAGTGAGAAACGATATATGTATGTTGTGTTGTCAAAGTAAGAGAACAATTGAAACCCTGCAATTGTGTGTAAATGAGGCAGAAAATCAGATCAGCAACCTTGGTCACAATTTTTGGAATGCCATATGGCAGCAGGGTCTACTATTAGACAATACGTTATGCTTCCAATATCTTCCCAGGTGGTATGCTGGTATATAACTGAGTATTTTACTAATAATTTTAGTATGTTAGTATATCACCGCGTATGATAGTATGAATGATATGTTACATCCAACAAAGAAAGGCTATAGGTAGGAGAATCAAGCGTGGTGACGTTTAGAATATAGGAATGGAGGATACTACAGCAGATCTATTGGTTCATACTAGGTAGCCCAGTTTACACTCAACCCGACCTAGTTCAGTACCGATCTGACCTAGCTTGGAGAAGGGCGTGCCTCTAAGTGCTCGTGTTAGTGACCATCGGAAATGGCCGTGGATCGTTGTGTTGTGGGGGAAGAGGGACGGTGTGTGAGGAAAGACGACCCCCTGGCCACTCTGTTAAGTCAGCTGGAGCAGTTGAGGAGAGAGATAGACGTTTTAAAGGGGGAGAACGAAGCCCTCAGGACTGAACTCCTTCAGGTAGGTGTCCTGCCTAGCAGGACACCTGCGAAGGAAGAGCAGGGGTGGAGAGTGGTTGTCTCCAAGGGGACCAGGGTCAGACTCAGAAAAGCTGATCAGGGTGTGTAGTACGGCAACCCCTATCAAGTGTTGGAGGAAGAGAAGAGGCAGGACGGTGTGGTGCCAGGCGAGAAAAGGGCAGTTGTTCAAACCCTGCCCAGTGGTAAGGTCGTGGTAGTTGGGGACAGCCAGGTGAGGTTCTTAGATAGGACTTTTTGTGCAAGAGATAGGAAACGTAGGACTAGGGTGTGTTTTCCTGGGGTTGGGATAGGGCATGTAGCTGAGAGGATAGATAGGGTTTTGTCAGTAGTGTGTCTTAGTGTAGGAGGTATCGACATAAGAAAGGTTAGGAGTGAGGAACTTTTCAAGAGGTATAGGGAGGCGCTTGGGAAGGTTAGAGATAGGGGAGGGATCCCGATAGTATGTGGTGTCTTGCTTAGAAGAGGAGTTGGTGGTGAATGGCTGTCCAGGGCAATTGCTATAAATTGCCGACTGGAAAAACATTGTGCAAGCAATGGTTGGGCGTTCATTGATAGCTGGCAACCATTCTATGGCAACTACTACCTGTACACTGTACAGTCGTGACGGAGTACACTTGTCTCGCGCGGGGGTAAAGACGTTGTCTGCATCCCTGGAGCGTGAAATTATCACTCCAAAGGGGGGTTTCGCCAGTAGAGAGAGGTCAGGGTAAGTGGGAGTTAAAAAACAAGCAGGTCCTGGGGAGTAAAATTGGTTACTCAGGACAAGGGGCAAAACAGTACCAGGGAAGGGTATGTTTAAATGTATACTATACAAAGTAGGAGCGTTAGAAATAAAATAGACTTGCTGAGAGCTGTTGTATGCAGCTCCTCCCATATGGCAGGAAATGAGTAGGGCAGCAAAATATAACAACCTGTGCATTATGGGGGATTTCAACTTCAGAAATATTGACTGGGACAACATTATAGGAGACTATGAATCTGAAGACTTCCTAGACGCAGTACAGGACAATTTTTAAAACAACTAATTGTAGAACCTACAATGTAGTACCCATATTCAAAAGGGGACACAGAGCAGCAGCGTCAAATTACCGGCCGATTAGTTTGACATCAGTAGTGGGGAAATTTCTTGAATCAATTATAGCAAATAGCATCCGATCGCATTTAGAGAAAAAAAAATTAATCTACGTCTCTCAACATGGGTTTACAAAGAGAAAATATTGTCTAACAAATCTGCTGACTTTTTTAGGAAAGTCTTCGAAGTAGTAGATAATGACGAAAATTACGATGTTATTTACTTAGACTTTAGCAAAGCGTTTGGCAGAGTACCGCATCAGAGGCTTCTGAGAAAAGTTAAGGCTCATGGTATCGAGTGGAAAGTTTTAAATTGGATAAAATCATGGCTCACCGATAGAACACAGAGAGTCAGCGTAGATGGTGTTAAATCTGAGTGGGACTGTGTAACCAGTGGGGTTCCCCAGGGTTCAGTACTGGGTCTACTCTTGTTCATAATCTACATAAACAATCTAGATACTGGGATCAGCAGTGATATAACCAAGTTTGCGGATGACACCAAAATAGGGCGGCAGATTAATTCAGGGCAGGATGCAAATGCACTACAGGAGGATTTAAATAAACTGCAGGAGTGGTCAGAAAAATGGCAAATGAAATTCAACACCAGCAAGGGCAGCGTACATAATATTGGAAGAACAAATACTGTCAATGTATACAGCCTTAACATCAACCTAGAGAAGTCGACTTGTGAAAGAGAATTAGAGGTACTTGTAAGCCCGGACCTATGGCCTAGAAAACAGTGTGTTAATGTTCGAAATAAGGCTAACAGAGTATTAGGTTTTATATCGAGAAGTGTAAGTAATAAGAGTGCGGAGGTCATATTGCAATTATATCTTGCGCTAGTCAGACCGTACCTCGATTATGCTGTTCAGTTCTGGTACCCTTATTATAGAATGGATATCAATTTACTGGAGTCGGTGCAGCGAAGAATGGCGAAAATGATTCCGGGACTTACCCGTAGAAACCTTCCATATCAAGATAGATTAAAGAAACTAAACTTGCATTCCCTAGAAAGACGAGGAGTGCAGGGAGATATGATAGAAGTATTTAAGTGGGTGAAAGGAAATCAATAAAGGATATAAAGTTCTTATAATATCCGAGCAGGATAGGACTCATAGCAACGGATTTAAGTTAGATAAGTTTAGGTTTAGGAGGGAGATAGGAAGGAACTGGTTCACAAATAGGGTTGGTGGACGAGTGGAACAAGCTTAACAACTTTAAAGTAAGTGCTGGAACGTTGGAAAGTTTTAAAAGGAGGCTAGATAGATTCACGGATGACAGAGAGTGGTTGTAACTCTCGACAGGAGCTGCCATGCACAGGCCAACCGGCCTATTGCAGACTCCTTATTTTCGTATGTAACACAAAAGTTCATCATAGAGCCCGTATTATTGTAAATGACTGGAAACTGAAGAAACAGTAAAGACCTCAAGTGTTCAATATCTTCTTTGTATAATTGTTGAGCTTTGTATAATATAAATAGACTCACCTAATATTATATATCGGAGATGTACAGCTTATATAATGTAAGAGGCTTTGATTGTACTAATTAATGTATACGATACCAACAACGTGCGGGACTGACCAGCTGACTGTGGCGTCGTGCGTTGCCAAGGTTACCGCCGCCATAACAACAACTCCTCACACTAAATAAATCTTATGGCGGGAAGAATATTTGTGAATGATCTTATTGGTATTCCTTTAGAGTAGATATATTTACTAATAAATCTCGAAATTATTAGTTGTTGATAATAGTGATCTTACTAAAACATATAAGAAAACTAAAGCTAAATACAACATTAGTATTACGCATATTAACATTTCTGTACTGAACTATTGTCCTCATGCACGTAGTGGGTTTCTTAAATAAAGGTATTTTCATTAATTGAACTGAGAAATATAACTTAATTGTATCAACTCAATAAATTAACTGAAGTGGTTGTTTATGTAAGGTATATTATTCTTTGTAAACGTAAATGTGCACATTAGTGATGAAAATTAGTATTTTTTTATATAATCATTAAGGTCAGTTTCAGATTCATTAGCTTTATTGAAGACTCCAGGCGAGTGTTGCTAACAAAGCACCATGTGCGTCATCTCATTTTTAAAGATAAACTTTTTTCCGAATCTTTTATCTCGGCAATAGTTGGTATGTCTGACATTTGTCATGTTAAATATCTAATAATATTCTCACGCTATGAGATAAACTTTAAGAAACAAGTGACATATTGGTGTGAAATGAGGCATCTCTATTTACGTATGTTGTACACTTGTCGAATGGCTGCCAAATACTTTATGTTGCACCTTGGCAACTAACATTCAATGCTGAATTGTCTTTTACACTCAAAAGATATACATTCTATTGACAGACAGAGAAACATTAGGAAACTACATTAAAGCTCACTGGCAAATGAACTTTAATTGATTACTTTTCAGTTTAAAGTAATATTGTTTTCCTTGTATTATCATGCTACAGCTAATGGTATACTGTATAGTTCTTTATTCATTTGAAAATCAGTTTATTTGCAATTAAATTAAACCTAGGTAACAGCCTCAGGAAAGGTGTTGCAGTATTTCTATTACTGCGTGTGATGGTGGTGACCTCCAACAAAAGACATTTTTGTTACACTTGGGACCGGTCCATTCTACGTTTTGTCTCGTCCAGTTTATGGTCTTTGCCGGGACTTTAGAAAATGCCCAGGCTCCGTATAGCAAACGTTTAATTATGTTGACTTAAAATTCACTGAATAGTTTTTGCTTAGGGATATCTATAGACGTTTCTATAATGAGTATGCTAATCTTTGAACTTTAACTTAATCTTCCTCTGGATTTCGTATATTTTCACAGAGAAGGTTAAAATGACACTAGGATTTGCTTTGGCTATTTCTCTATGACTAGAACCCCCCTTTGTATGAATTGCTTGATATTTTTTTAACTAATATATAATAACAATGAAGGCAATGAAAAATTATTGCAAGTGTAAGTGAAAAACTGCTTGAATTTTGTTCTAATTAAATATCGTTATATGTAATTTTTCAGTCAATTAGACAGCTGACTGTATTTTTACTTTTTGATCTCTAGTCTGACTGTTAAAGAAGAGGGTGGTTTTATTTAGATGCACATGACATTAAAGACATCAACCTGTGTTTAAGAGTAAATTGTCTTAATCCATCCACCTGTGTTTAAGAGTAAATTATCTTAATCCATCCACCTGTGTTTAAGAGTAAATTATCTTAATCCATCCAAAGGTCTGATTTCTTTCTACCTTATTTATTGTATGAGATATTTCTTTATATATAGTATGATGAGAAAACAAATATCAGGCAAAAATATAATTTTCTCAAGTGCGTCAAAGTATTGGAACAGAACTGTATATAACACGGGCTGCAGTGCACGTGTGTACACTTGGTGGGATATTATTTGCATATTTATACATCTCCTGAGTGCGGTAATAACAATTTTAATTTACTGTTGTTGAATTGATGTATTTCTTGGTAAGTTGTGTGAATGTGAGGTGATATGCATGATAAAAACCTTAAAAGGCACCTCGTCTTGTGAGACTTGTCCTAGAATTAGATCAGCTGACAAGGTATAGCGTCACAGTGCAAAATATCAATGATGTTTTACAATTTTACAGGACACCATTCATTGTTTATCTCTGTTTTATGCACTTTTTATCAATTAAAAGCCTATTTCAAAGAATATCTTTTAGTCTGAAGAGCTGGACAGGGAAACAGGAAGTGCAGTACCCTGAAATAAATAATTACTGATTAGTTGCTAGGAGTATTTCACGTTGCCATCTGTGGTGTGTTGCTAAGTTCCTGACAGTCTGAATGACCTGCCAGATGTGACCACAATTCTCGTGATACTTAACCAGACAAACTTCCTGTTGGTTAGGTAAGTCATCATCCCTTTTGAGAAGAATCAAAGAAGTTAGTGTGGAGTTGCTGACTTCCACCGGTCCGACTAATTACCCAAATGTAGCAGCAATGAAGTCAAATAATGGTCCTACATGAATAAATCGGACTGCTAATCACTTCTCGACTAGTATTTGGTGTCACAAAGTCACAAGAAATTGGTAAACTTAATTTAATCTGAGTTGTGTTAGGTTAGGTACATGCACTTGATCTATTAACTCCGATTAAATTAAGTTTACCAATTTTTTGTGACTTCGTGACACCAAATACTAGTCGAGGTTAGGTTAGGTTAGGTACATGCACTCGATCTATTAACTCCGATTAAATTAAGTTTACCAATTTTTTGTGACTTCGTGACACCAAATACCAGTCGAGAAGTGATTGGCAGTCCGATTTATTCACGTAGGACCATTATTTGACTTCATTGCGGCTACATTTGGGTAATTACTCGCTCCCACGGTACATGCACTCGATCTATTAACTCAAATTAAATTACGTTTTCCATTTTTTTTTTACTTTGTGACACCAAATACTAGTCGAGAAGTGATTGGTAACCCGATTTATTCATGTAGGACCATTATTTGACTTCATTGCGGCTACATTTGGGTACATTTGGGTAATTAGTCAGACCCGACTTCGACTGACTGACTGAATAGTGTGTGGTTTAGAACTTGACATAATTCACATTTAGTAAAAAAAAAAGTAATTACATAGGATTAACCCGTGGGCGAAATTGATTGAAAACAATTTAAAAACGCCGGATTTTCTTTGTTAAATTATACGTAGTGGACACTGTTGTAGTTTGTGGAAATCTGTTAAAAAATGGATATTTTTAAAATAAATGCTACTTAACATTTGTGGGTATGAAGAACAGACCTAACCAAACAAACCTACATAACCTTACCTAACTTCCCCGGTATATTAAGCAGAAAGAACTTACAATGATATGGTGAAATTTGAGGCATTTTCTGGACGCGAGATAATACGGCCGCTTCGGCGCTATGCATCCCTGGCGGATTAGTCCTATATATTAACCAAAAGAAAAAAGACACTAATCACTTGAGATAAATTATAAATTTCTTTCCATGAGTCTTACTGGATGGCAAAATGTAGCTTTGTTGTTATACCGCAGTTCAAATTAAGAAAGAAATTTCTTAAATGTTTATTCAATGATAGCCATGTTATGAATGGAGACAGTGGTAAGTGGTTAAACACACTTAACTGGTTCTCGATCATTTAAGATTCTTTGAAACTTTCTCTCTTGGTAAAATCATTGATAATATTCTATGCAATGGAATAGCTAAACCCCTTTAGCTTATTCCATTGCATTTAATATGGATGTAGAAGTAATATATTCACCCCATCAAGTCTCAGAAAGAATTTATTGTAGTCAGAATATGTTTTCCTTTGTTTTAAAATTTGATGTGTGACAGAAAGGCTTATTGCATTTATTGAGTCACATCAGTAACATTGAGAGAGCTTTCAGTTGTTTAAAGGGAGTCCTGTCTCAGGGAACTTCAACAACATTTTCTGAAGGAGAAACATAGAAAATCTTCAATAATGGAAATCTTTTTAGCAAACACAAACTTATGAGCCTAAATCAGATTAGGTTAGGTTCTTTTTTGTTATGTATTTAATTCCACATTTTCCCACTGCTTCAAAGACCTGTACACCTTTGGTGGGATCATCATTGACAGGGTATGAAGGCTCATAACACAAAACAGTAATAATGCATCTTCCCAAGTGAATCTTTTCAGTGCTTCCCAATCAAATATAAAATATTGGGCTAGGTTAGGCTGTTGTTTTTATTTAAATTTTTTTTTGCAATTATACCACAGAAACAGCTTCTTAGTTGCTACTATAGGATACACCCCATTTTGTCCAAAAAAAACAATTCATCACCAATATAAAATCCATTTCATCACCACTGGTATTAGTGTCAAATTGGAAGTTATTATTTTACACAAATAGAAATTACACATTTATACAGATGACTCGAAAATTGTTGTATTATTATTATACATGAATATTAATTATTTAATGAAGAAAACGATTAAAACATTGGTAAGTAAACAAAATACAGAACAAATGAAGGTGATTTGGCACCAGCGCATAAAACACCGAGCAGCAAAGAACAATCTCGCTCTATACCTCCTTGTTTCTCTTCTTCACAGAAGCCTCAATGGTTGATTTGCAATTACAACTAGTTGCTGAGCACAAGCTAAAATCATGCAAAAGATAAGCAAATCATGACAAATAAGTCTGTCTAATTTCCTAAAAAATTGTCAGTGTCTTCTTCCATGCTTGCATGAGTAATAAATAACAAGGTTTTTATTTATTTTTTTATTTTAGTCTTTAACATTTTGTTTAAGTGAGATGATTGCAGGTGCATTAACAATGTTTTTATTTTTGTTCCGTTTCAGTCTAATAATTTTTTTAAGTGAGATGCTTGCATGAGTACCGGTAGTGTACTAACTTTTTTATTTTCGTCATTAATAAATTTTCTTTGTGAGATTCTTGCATGATCCAATATATTGTTATGCCGTGGCATAATTTTGTAATACAATTTTGTAAACTAGGTGTTTTGATTGTTTTCTATCCCAAGCAACAGTTATTTTGGCAAATTTAGTGAAATTTTCATGTACATATTGATGTATTAATTTTGTAAGAATTTTCTTTTGTGTATTGCCCTTCAAATGGTGATGGGAATGAACTCGGTGACAAAACTGGTAAAAACAATGATGATGAAAAGGGTAAAAAATGTAGTGACGAAATGGGCACACCCTCTACTATAGTATGCGGTCTACCGAGCTGGAGTTGGTCTACCGGATTTGAGCACGGACTTGAGGGTAGACTTGCATTTTTTAATAATTTTTTCTGATTATTTGTGAGTATTTTCCCATTATTATTTTTTTGTACAGTGAACCCTCACTTTACGCGTTTAATTCAACCCACGGCGGCCCGCGTAAAGTGAACAACATAACATATGGGATTAATTGAAATAGAGACCGGGCCGACCCCCAAACTCCACTTTTTCAGACACAATACCTACGTTGTAGTAAAAATAACTTCTTAATTTTATGATGGTATGCACACAATTAATAATTAAGAGAAATATCAATAATATTAGGTTTTTTAACACTTACATTAGTAGAAAAGATGGCTGGGCACACAGGGATGGGGGGTTGGTTCCGAGGCAGGGGGCAGATTATTGGCCCTCACCTGTATCACTTGTATCAATTGTATCACTATCCACCACAGAGGCTTGCAGGGCCTCTTTGTCACACCCCTCAAAGTCCATATAGGTCCATATCCTCACTATCATTATCACTGACTTGGGCCGGCTGTGGTGGGTGGCGGGTGAAGAACTCGGTAATGTTTTGATGACTGGGCGACCTTGTGCGCACCCTGCTCGCGCCGCTTACACAACATGGCGGATGGTGGGAGGTTTGGATCCAAAAATGGCGCGGCTCGCCAGCCGCTCTCCGCGTAAAGGGGTACATGCACCGCGGAATGTGAGCATTCCGGTTTCGGCAGGGTACCGCGTAAACGTGGAAACGCAGAATGTGGGACCGCGTAAAGCGAGGGTTGACTGTATGTGTTTTGTGAGTGTGTGTGTGTGTGTGTGTGTAGACACACACACACACACACACACATATATTTACAATACAGGTAAAGGAAATTACTGTCTCTAGAACGAATGGCTCCCTGTCCCAGCCGCGAAAATGCCGGCAACTTTCAAAGTACCCACAGGCATTCTTGGGTACATCCAGGGTGTCACTCGTGAATAATAGAGGACCGCGAACTTGGGGGACCCCCTGTAAATACTTCTGTTTGATATGCCAGGGAGTCTGGGTGGCAAAGTCCTGCCGTGGCTAGGAAATTAGGCAAAGTTAGGTAGGTTTCTTTGGTTTGTTAGGTCAGGTTCTATTAGGCCTGGATCTGTGCATTGTCATATTTATTTATTTTTTCTTATTATTTTTACTATCATCCAAAGAACAAATGTGGAAATATTAACAAAATTGAACAATGCGTTCTGGTGTTAACCAACTGCTCCAGGATTACCATAAGATTTATGGTTGATGAGATAAGTAATTGATAAACATTATCTTTGACACTCCCATATGTCGTAAAATTTGAGCCTTTGCCCACCCACCAAATTATATACTGTACTAGCTATGCTACTGTATTTGTGGAAGATTTTCACTTATGCATTGAATGCAAATTCATTGACAAAGTATTGACTTAATCATTTTAGCGCTGTCTTCATGTGAGAGACAATGGTAGGTGAAAATGTTGTCACTGTAACTTAGGGTTTAATTTGCCTCACATGCTTTGAATTTTAGAAAACACTTGCGGAAGTCACTGGGTCTTCTTTGTGGTGGAGACGGTGTAGCACTGAAAGGGGTAGGAAGTAGTATCGTGAATAGGCTGTGACCTCCACACCTTCAGTGCGACTGCAGTTTGAAATACAGTACTGTACTGTAATACGTCATTGTACTACAGGAAACTGTATTCTGTTTCTGCTTTTAATCTTTTCATGGATTGCCAAGTGGTGTGTGGCAATTGATTCTGATCTTTCATCCAAATTATCGATAATTAAATTTTTCCATTTCACTGATACACTCCCTCCCCAATTCTTACCCCATCTCTAGCTATTGTTGATATGGCGAGCAGGTGTACCAACTTAAGGTGATGCACTGGAATCATGTTAAAGCGTTTCGTCTAGCGTTTTAAATTGTAGCAACGGAAAATCTAACGATTCTTTTGGGGGGACTGTACAGTACATATTATTATTATTATTTTTTTTTTCCACAGGGTTTCATAACATACAGTACTTAAATGAAATAATCTGAGTGAAAGTGGTTTCAAGAAGGAAAATATTTGCAGTACATATTTGATAATGTGACACAAGTTTTATTCAGTACAATTAGTGTTGGTTATTTGGAATTTTTCTTGTACAGTACAGTACCAGGTTGCGGAATTTCGCTCTTACGGAATTTGTAAATTATGACCAATAATTTTGCAATACGGCCCGTAAATCCGCCCTTACGGAAATTGGGGTAAATTTTAACAATTAAAAAAAAATCACGATATAAAATTAAAAATTTTTGTTAAAAATTATAATTTGGTTGGTGTGGATTTCTTGGTGTTGCCACCGCCAAGCGTGGCGTCGCCACTCGGAATCACTCCATTGTTCACATCCAATGTGTGCGCATGTTTCTCGCCCCAACAGTTGGATTTAACTTTTACAAACATACAGTAAGTACAGTACAGTGCATTACCCTCGTTCAAGATGACTGGAAAGAGGCCATCAAGTGGAAGTGACCGCAGTAGTGCAAAAACAAGCTGCAAAGTCATTAAATTGGATATTAAACTTGATGTTTTAAGGAGATATATCATAAATTATTTAATGTACTGTGTTGTATGTGTTTATAAATGTTTATTTTCATTCATAAATGTGCTTGAATTACTTTTTGGGGGCCGAAAAAAATTCCTTAGGAACGCATCTCCAGTTTTATAATGGAAGTCAATGGGAAAATAGGGTTCGCGTTACGGAATCTCGCGATACGGTCAATTTTCCAGTGACGCGACCCTTCCGTAATGCGGGGGATGCCTGTATATACACACACACACACACAGCACCTCCCCGACTTTCGACCTACTCGACTTACGACCACCCGGACATATGACCGCCTGAGTCCTACCAAAATTTTGTCAAATTACGTATTTTCGAGTCCCAATGTCAGTGATTGCGCTGTGTACTGAAAATTTTTTTCGTTTGTAATTCACTTTAAAATGGCTGGCAAGCTTAAAAGTGAGAGTTTTGTGGTGCTGAGAAGAAAAAGAGACGCCCATTTTAGATTTTCTATGTATTGTTTAAGCATTTTCGACTTACGACCTGGATTTGGGACCCTAACCCCGTCGTAAGTCGGGGAGGAGCTGTATATATCTGTGTGTGTGTGCGTGCGTGCATGCTGATAACCACAAGGAAAAAGAAAACACGAAGTTCCCAAGCGCTTTCGTGTAATTCACATCTTCAGGGGTGAGTACAGTCTGTACTCACCCCTGAAGATGTGAATTACACGAAAGCGCTTGGGAACTTCGTGTTTTCTTTTTCCTTGTGGTTATCAGCATATACCTGGATCACGCGCACCTACAGTGATTTTATTGCATATATATATTGTGTTGTCAGTAGTAAGAGAAACAATTGAGACCTGCAATTGTGTGTAAATAAATCAAAAAGTCAGATCGGCAATCTGGGACTTGGTCACAATTTTCGTGATGCCATATAGCAGCAGGGTCTACCATAAGACAACACATTATGCTTCCAATATCTTCCCAGGCGGTAGTACCTCCCTGTTTGGTAGCTGCATACTACACGTGATATGATAGGTGTAATGTATGTAAAGAAGGTTCGACTATGATTGCGATGGTGCCACCGAGGGGTGAAACCCTATACCTGTGGGTAACTGTACATACTGTACATTATCTACATAATCACAAAATGACAGCAGAAGCAACAGTACCCTGTACACTGAGAAAGGGGGCTCTTGTTATTTCTGGTGATTCAAGCTTACATATTATATGACCATCTCTCATTTTGACTAGCTCTTTCATGATGTATTCCATTCTGCTTAATCAACAAATTGAGGTGTTTACAGATCTTTTTCAGTTTAAAACTGAGAAATTGAACCAAACAAACAGTGTAGCTTTACTTTGGTCACCATAATATTTGGGTGTTGGGATGTGGGTTTCAGGCCACCAGACAGGTGATGGCAGATTTTGAGTTACTGTAGCTCAATATGAGTTTGACTCGCTTCTGTCAGCTGGACGGGTGTTAATGTACACTCCTGGTACACATACAGTATTCCCTAATTATTCATTCCCTGATAGTTGAAGGTATGTTACATGTTTAGTACAGTACAGTATTTCCTAATAGTAATTCATTTTCAGCAAACCTTATGGTGCATGAATGGTATTCCCAAATAATTCATCTCCTGTAGAAATTTATGGTGCATTTATTCCCTAATAATTCATCTCTGATAGAAATTTATGATACTCCCAGAATAATAGACCATAGAATTTGACTTGCTATCATGTTTTTATTTTAGGGATGAAGGCTGCACTGCGAGCTGCGGCAGCTATAACGGGTGCTGGTGCCCTCATATATGTCCTCTTGCGGTCCAGAAAACGCCAGCGGGATCCAGGGAAGCATGATGATTTTGCCACATTCTCTTCAGAAAATATCACTGGAACCTGTTCAGATGTGAAACAAACTCTTCTTGCAGAGGAACTAGATACATTAGGCAATGATGTATCCAAAGAATCTAAAGATTTTGTGGATAAAAGTGACAATTGCCCTTATGAAAATTTTAACGGGCATGTGCTGATAAATGGCAGCAATTCTGAAATAATTGTAGAAAATTATCTCAGTGGTGATGGGGATGCAGTCAGTGTTACAAAAAGGGAAAATATTTTGGCTGAGGAAAATAACGATGTGTGTGGTGACAATATTAACACACAAGAAAAGGAGCAGTCCACACCCTCCACTTCTAACAAGTATGGAGATACAAGTGAACCCAGTATTAATTTTGTTGACAAGGTTGATGCAGAAGATGACGTGTTGGAATTTTCTAATGAGTCAAGCTGTTCAACTGGCAAGACAGATGTCTTATCACACATGGAAGAAACACACAGTACTTTTGATGACCAAGTGAGAGTTAGTAATGAGGAATCAGCAGAGTGTGTGAATGTTATATCAACAGAATCTCGTGATGTTAGTAAGGATGATGGATCTAGTTTACGATGTGTTGCACCAGTTTCAAAAGAAAACAAAAATGCTCACCTGAGCACCAACTTTCAGGATAAAATCTTCACTGCCTCGACAAGTTCAGAAATTTCAAGTCCTAGGGCAGTACTGACAGGGATGCATGAAATGACCGATTCAACAAGTGAAATTACAGAAGCTGAGAGGCCTTCCACAACAGTCCTATTGCAGGAGAAAGAAGTATCATCACCCTCTGTGTCAGAGAATGAATGTCTTGTTGCAGCATGGGCTGACAAAGAAACTGAGCATATAAAAGATTCGAGTGTATTCACTTTGTCTTCAGAAAAGCCTCTTGAATCCATCTCAGTTAGGAGTGAAGAATCTGTTGCTGTTTCATCATACACACCACAAGAACAAGAGTCTTTAGTTTCAACTTGTTTGGAAGGGGACAAGAAATCTGATGTTTTACTCAGCCATGATACATCTACCCTAAACCTTAGCCATGAATCATCTACTTCACCAAGCTCAAATCATGACAAAGAATCTACAGTTTCCCCTTGCACAGCTCAAGTAGAATCTTCAGGCTCATCTTCTCTGGCTCCGGATGAAGAATCCACTGAAGTACAATCTACTTTTTCATCCAATTTAGGCCTGGAAGAAGGCTCGGCTTGTTCATCCATGATGGTTGTTGAAGATCAGGGTACTCTCTCATCCTGCTTAGATAATGAAAAACAGTCTAGTCTCTCACTTAGTTTGAACCAGGAAGGAGCATCTACTCTTTTGACCAATTTGAACCAAGTCGAACAGATAGGTTTGTCCTCCAGTGTGGCCTGTGGAGAGCAAGTTATACTCTCAAAGAGCTTGAACCTTGATGAACACCTTACTCTTTCATCAAGTTTGAACCAGGAAAAGGGATGTTCTGTATCATCAAGCTTGAACCAGGAAGAAGGATGTACCTTGTCATCAAGCTTAGCCCAGGATTGTACTCTGTCATCTAGCATAGCCCAGGAAGAAGGATGTACTCTGTCATCTAGCTTAGCCCAGGAAGAAGGATGTACTCTGTCATCTAGCTTAGCCCAAGAAGAAGAAGGATGTACTCTGTCATCCAGCTTAGCCCAGGAAGAAGGATGTACTCTGTCATCCAGCTTAGCCCAGGAAGAAGGATGTACTCTGTCATCCAGCTTAGCCCAAGAAGAAGAAGGATGTACTCTGTCATCCAGCTTAGCCCAGGAAGAAGGATGTACTCTGTCATCTAGCTTAATCCAGGATTGTACTCTGTCATCTAGCATAGCCCAGGAAGAAGGATGTACTCTGTCATCTAGCTTAGCCCAGGAAGAAGGATGTACTCTGTCATCTAGCTTAGCCCAAGAAGAAGAAGGATGTACTCTGTCATCCAGCTTAGCCCAGGAAGAAGATTGTACTCTGTCATCCAGCTTAGCCCAGGAAGAAGGATGTACTCTGTCATCTAGCTTAGCCCAGGATTGTACTCTGCCATCCAACTTAGCCCAGGAAGAAGGATGTACTCTGTCATCCAGCTTAGCTCAGGAAGAAGGATGTACTCTGTCATCCCGCTTAGCCCAGGAAGAAGGATGTACTCTGTCATCCAGCTTAGCCCAGGAAGAAGGATGTACTCTGTCATCCAGCTTAGCCCAGGAAGAAGGATGTACTCTGTCATCCAGCTTAGCCCAGGAAGAAGGATGTACGCTGTCATCCAGCTTAGCCCAGGAAGAAGGATGTACTCTGTCATCCAGCTCAGCCCAGGAAGAAGGATGTACTCTGTCATCCAGCTTAGCCCAGGAAGAAGCATGTACTCTGTCATCCAGCTTAGCCCAGGAAGAAGGAGGTACTCTTTCAACAAGCTTAAATCAAGAAAATTGTACTCTGTCACCCAGCTTAGCCCAGGAAGGAGGAGGTACTCTTTCTACCAGTTTAGCCCAGGAAGAAGATTCTACAATATCATCGAGCTCAGCCCCTGAAGAGCAGCCTACTCTCTCAATCAGTTTAGACCATGATCAGGAATCAAAAGCCTTACTTTGTGAATCACAAACATTAGAGTCAAAGGATAAAGTACCAGTACAAGAAGGAAAACAAAGTATGATGAGTCAGGAAAGCCCTAAGGAAAAGTGTACAGAATTAGCTGATGCGGAGAAGAAAGATGGCAGAGCAGCTTCAACAAAATGTGAAGAGACGACGAGTGAGATTGGTCCATCACAGTTCCTGGCTAAAGAGACCGTAGATGTTGGAATGGCAGTTGAGCAGAACAACTATAAACAAGTAGTAATACAGAAAACAGCAGACAGAGAACAAAATGTTAACACAGGAACTAGCATGTCAAAAGGAGACAGCAACATAGGAACTAGCAAGCTAAATGAAAGTAACAATATTAGTAAGTTAAGAGAAAGTGTCAGTACAGGAAAAAATACATTGGGAGAAAGTAGCAACACACCAAAGAAAGCAGATGGGAGTGACAAAGGCACCAGCAGGAAAGAACAATTCCAGATTAACCGTGGAGACTCTGCAGCTACTGACCTTGATCATGATCCTATTTCTGAACAGGAGAATCTCAACTCTGACTCCTTAAGCTTGGTAAGTCCCTTTCTCAGTTTTTCATTTGAATTTGCATAATCCTCACTGGATGAAAATTGTTAGATGATTCTTGGTGGATCTTTGAGGAAAACGTGTTGCTTTTGTTTTCAGATTGTGACTTCAGAACATATTTATTATTATATCCAATACCGTATTTAGAATATAATATTTATTCATGATTCAGAGTAACATTTCATTAGATGTTGATCATTTGTTGCAGAAATCTGTGGATAGTGGACAGGGCAGCAGTGAGATAGAGCCCGAGACACTGTTTAACCCATCAACATTTCCAGCCTCTAGTCAGGAGCAGTACATTTTCTATGAGTTTGAAATTCCTCAGGTATGTTGTGAGATGCGTTGTTGACAGTTACTGTCTCATCACTCCAGTTAATGAAAGAGTTGTGAATATAAGTCTTTTGTGTGAGTAGTTAATATCCTTTTCTACATGGTCAATTAAGTAAATGTTATACCTGTAGTCTATTCTGTGTGTGTGTACAGTATGTGTATTTAGTATTCTCAACTTCAGTACAATATTGGAATGACTTAGCCAAAATTAAGTTTTGACAAATACTGTGCATTACACACGTTAGAGCAGTACTCTACTGTATCTACAAGAAATAAAGTTGTTACTATTGTTGCGTTCTACACTGTCTCACATCACTATCTTCTGTCTTGCTTGCCTTGCTTTGAGGCTTCTTGTCCGTTGAATTGCTTCACACAAATTGGGAGTGGAATAAAGTTAATATTGTAGTTTGATTAATTGTACTTTAAGACTTCTGTTGTGGAACATGTTTTGTGATTTTAAAACTCCATGGCAATTTAATTGGACCATACTAATTACTGTATATGAATATTATTTACAGACATTGGTGGGACGTTTGATTGGGAAGAAAGGTGCCTTTGTAAACAAAATCAAGGCTACCACAGATGCAACAGTTATTGTTTATCCACACAGAGACAGAAGATTGAAGTTGTGTTCTGTGGAAGGTAAACCTATACATTTTTGTTGTTATTCTTGTATCATTTTCATGGAATTGCTCACCACACTAAAATTTAGGATAGTATTCAGTAAACTCCTACATATGGTACAGTATATTGGCATTAAAATTAAGCTTAGTACTTTTATTGGAATTGCAAACTAGGTAATTCTACTGTTAAATGTGAGTTGTCAGCAAGAGACTTCAGATACTTCTACCCCAGCCGGTGCTTGCCATGGCCAGGTGACTTGTTCTAGCATCGGGCTAGACTTGACTGATAGTTCAGAAAGAATAAATGCATAGTGACTTCTCACATGGCAACCCAGAATTGATGCAGTGTTTTGAACTCGAGGCCCAGTGGATGTTTTGAGAGCCAGCTTGGTTTCAGATTCATTATAAATAAACCCTAAGATAGATACTTGCCCTGTATCAAACCATTCAACCATAAATATGAGAAGCATTATTCAATCATCATAATTACCAGCCAGCAGCCAAGCTTCCATAGTTCCTCCTCTTTTAGTAGATCCCCCTTGAAGTGGTGAATATTAACTCACAATGGAGTATTTGGCCACTTATTTTATTTTTATTTACTTATTTATTTTTATTTTGTATTATTATTTTTTGTAATGTTTTGTAGTATCAAGATTATTGGTGTTTAACAAGGCATATTTGTTGTCATGACTTCATTCAATGTGCAAGTTGAAGTCTGTCTTGCATTTATGACCCCTGTGGATGTATGATGGAGAGCTGGTGTGTGTGACCAACTTGTCTAGGCCTTCAGGGTTTGTTGGATGCCACTCACACACTTAAGCACAGTCCTTAGGTAGATCTGTCCCAAGGGCAGGACAAACAGTGTGATTTAGCCATTAAGAATATGTATGTAACTAAACATAAGAAAACTCAAAAAAATTTACTGCATCTTTAATTCCATGATTACATACATTTGTTCACAAAATTCCTCTCAATCCCCAAAATCAAATATAACATTGTATATAAAGTTAAAACTAGCTGTGTGTGTTCTATAAAAATTAGTATTTTTCTGATTTTTTAGCAATGCAAAGGGGGCCCCACAGGCTGGCTTACCTTGGGCCCTACTCTCCCTTAGGGACAGCCTTGGCCTCAGGTACAATAGTGTTGGAATTTGAATTATGGCAACAGGCTGTGTACCCCTGCATAAGTGAAGTGACCAGTTAGTTTGTCATCATACTGGTTGGAATTAATGTAAACTTAGTTTGTAAGGATATCCAAGTCTAGTACAGTGGTCCCTCGGTTAACGAGCACAATCCGTTCCAGCAGGTTGCTCGTTAACCGAAAACTCGTTAACCGAAACCATTGTTTCAATGGGTTTTTGGGTAATTGGTTCCAGCTCACCGAAAATTGCCTAAATTCAACAAAAAAGGTAGAAAAGTACACTTACTTTGAGGTGTGTATGTAGAAGGCTCCTGGATGATGATGATGGGAATTAGAATGGGGGTGGAGGAGAAGGAGAAGAGAAGGCATTGGGGTGGAAGAGAAGTCACCCCATGGCACCATTTCACCCATAAAATTTTAGTTCTCTTGGTGTAATTCAAGATTATTTTCTTTAAATCAACACTGCACTGCATTATATATTGTCAATATGTAAAATATATTTCAAAATGACCAATAATTTGCTTGGAAACACACAAAAAAAGCGTTTAGTTGAAGAGAGTCTCAAGCAAGATGTTACCTCCGCTGAAATCAGAGAGATACTAACGCCTGTCTGGTGTGTTAAAAGGCTGGATGGCACGCCAGAAACTAGTTTCTTCACCTTCAATTATGTTCAATAATTGTTAAAATGACTAAAAAAGTTAATATTAAACTTTTAAAATTATTGAATAGTATAAACTTCTTGATATTTACTAACATAGTAAGGAATTTAAGCCCTAAAACCGATTACTGTATTGGCGGACTAATACTACAGCTGGTGGACCGCCAAATGCAAGCGAAAACATGTTGAAGTCGGCTCGTAAAAAACTCGTTAATCGAGGGATTGCTCGTTAACCGAAGTTAAGAATCTTATGGAAGGTAAATCGTCAACCGAAATCTCATTAACCGAGGCGCTTGTTAACCGAGGGATCACTGTATGTAAGCTTTACCAAAGAGTTTTATTCCTTTGGTTTGGAAGTGTAATCTACACTATTTTGTTATGCAAAACTGAACTCAGTTTCAAGGGACTTTATCTGTGGGGTCACTTAGTATCATTGAGTGAACATTAACCAGTGCCTGGAATTAGGTCACAATCCCTTATCCGAAACCCTTGGGGCCAGATGTGTTTTGGAATTCAGAATTTTTTGGATTTCAGAATGGTCTGTGGCAGCACCCCACAGGCACACCACGATCAAGCTTCTGTAATAACTCCACTTTCTGTGCTATCGATAATGAGAGATGCTTCCTTTTCCCATTGGTGTAACTGAAGCTATTTTTGACATTTTCACAGTGAAATTAAACTCAAAATCACAAAAAATATCAGAGAGCAGCAGACGCACGTGTGACTGGTAGCTGCGCTGAGACACAACTAACGCCTCACACCTGCGTGGGTCAAGCTTCGGCCGTGTCGGGTCATGTTCAGCGTCACTCTTGGTATGTCGTGCTAACGAGTGATGCTCCATGAAAAAACTTAAAGGATTTCGGAATTGCAGAAAAGGGATTGTGGACCTGTACTACCAATTAAGTATTACCCTGAATCAGAGAGGACTCCCAAACTAAATTGAAACTAGTTAATGTACAGTATTGATTTCCTTTCTCCTGCCTGTATACCCTTGAAGGTATTATTAAATCCTGTAGTGAACTTTGGGTGTTATGCCCTCAAAACCAACTGCATCTTTAGTTACACATTTTATTTCTGGTATGGTTGGTAAAAAAAAAAAAACTTCAATGCAGTAGTTTACACTCATTTGTTTAGACTGTTTAGCCTGCTGCCAGTGGAGGTATCTCTTAGATTACTCGTCTCCTTCCTCTGGTTATGAAATGGGAGTTCATGCTTCATTTATCATCTGTAGAACTGAAATTTGGAAGAAAATTTTTAATTTATTAAATTTTCTAGAACTAAACTTGCTGACACATGTGGTTGTTTGGTGTTTTTAGTAAAATAATGTTGGTCTAGTCCGCTAGTAGAAAATCATAATTAATTATATAATGGAACTACTATTACAATATTAAAAGAAAAAGTAGAAATTAATATTTATGATGAAATTGTAGTTCTAGATCCTTTAAAGTTTTAATAGTTTGTTGTTATTTTTATGTGATAAACAAAGTTTAATTATGTGAAATTTTCATCCATCTAGGTTCAAAGCAGCAAGTTAGAGCTGCATTAGATATGATTCGTGACCACTTCCCACACAACCGATACCCAGATGTAAGTCTGGAACAGGTGTCTACACAGCAGCCAATGATGACTCCGTCTCACCCAACTCTGAACACCCAGGCCATGCAGGTAAGATAGCTAATGGGAAACTAGCAGGTGTTGAGCAGACACTGTGTAGTCTCAAAACATTGGTGAGGCTCTGAGAGTGTGGCTGATGATTAGGAGCATCAGTTTCCCTTAATTTTTTGTGAATGCAATATGTTCATTCACTTAACACTAGTACACCGCCTTATTTATAGCAACTACCCCTTCCATGCACCGGGCTAGGTGTGACTTTCATACGCAGAAAAGCCATGCTGTATCATTCCTTTCTTTTCTTTTTCTTTGCTAGATTTATTGGAAATCGGTTAATCCCCTCCCCCCCAATACAAAACCAACTATATTCTATGTATAATTGATTGCTCTTTCACACAAAACCAGAAATTTTTGAAAAAGGAAGAAACAGTTTTGAAGAAGTTAAGTCATGCATTACACTTTTCACTACAATCAACTTGTATTTTAGCCAACAAACAATCATGTAAGGACAATAAGTAATACTGTAGCTAAGAAAAAAAGCGGAAATTTTTACGCTTTATGTTGTTGAAATAAAAAATAAAAATGAAGAATATTTATAAGGCTGGCAAATTGGAAAAAGAAAAAAATTGAATAACTAGAATAATTAAAAAAAATCACTAATTTTAGTTTTTGCCATCATTTTTATATATTTTCTTTTTTTATTACTCCATTGGCTAGTACAGTGTATAAGTACAGTAGAATCTCAGTTATCCAGTACAGTAGAACGTTGATTTAAAGCGATTCAATTTAAGATTATTGATATAAAGCGACGCCCACAATTATGGACATTGTTTTAATTTAAAGCAAATCTTTCCTATTTTGTGCGAGTCAATCTGGCGCATCATATTTAAAATTTTGCGCCTAATGTTTCTCTGGATATGCTACACTGTCCTAAGGGCAAAGCTGTACTGTATATATACGTACTCAAAATAATGTACTAAATGATTGCTACAATTTTTGTCTGATGCAAATTATAGCATGTTTATATTCAAATTAATCATTATCTTATAAGAATTCCATCAATGTAAATTATATTCTCCCTATCACTTCTGTGACATTTTATGAGCAAAAAACATAAACTCAAGCTAAAGGACATAAATAAACAAATAAATACTTCACTAGACCTTCGGTGCCAACTGTCAAACATGTCACTTCCCTCCCATCCCTCCCAGCCATGGTTTGGTGTTTTAAGCTTTAATATTTTATCTTGTATAATGTCACAGACTAAAGTTGGGAGAATATAATTTGTATTGCTGGAATCCTTGCAAGACAGCGAATAATTTGAATATACGTCATTTGTTGCTCTTTGTAGTAAAATTCTTAAATTTGAACTAAAATTTGTATGACTAATGCGAGCTATAGCATGTTTATATTCAAATTAATCACTATCTTATAAGAATTCCAGCAATGTTAATTATATTCTCCCATGTCAGTTCAGTGACAGATAAATAAAGAAGCCCTAAACTTTGGCATCAACTGTCAAACATATCACCTCACCGCCCTCTCTCCCCCCCCCACCATCTTCCCAGCCAGTAAACAGACCATTTCACATCCCTTAATATTAGCTGTGTTGATTTATGAGTGTTTGTTTTAACATAATACAGTGGTCCCTCGGTTAACGAATTCCCTTCCATAAGAATCCTCAATTCGGCTAACGAAAAAAAATTGATTAACGAAATCCTTACAAAAATCACGTTTTGTTTTGAACATCAGCTGATAAGTTGAGGAGGTACTCAGCCAATTCATTAATCTCTTGTATGTTTACATTCGTTTCCGTTGGAGTAAATATCAAGAAAATTGTGCCCTTTAATATTTGTGCATTTTTATACAGTATTAAAATTATTGGTCATTCTGAAATTTAGCCATCCAAACTCTGTCTACATAAAGTTTTTCAACTATTTTTGACTTATATATGTAACTTTATTCATTTATTGAAACTCATTTACATGCACACACTGTCCTAAGGGGAAAGCTGTTATTTGTATATTATTTGTAATTCGAAACCCATTCCCCAAATATGTAACTGTATATTTTCAGCCTTCTGGCTGCCAAGCTCTTTCAATAAACCGTTAATTATTATTATTATTAACTGTACATGTAATCAGAATAATGTACAAAATGATTACTAAAATTTTTGTCTAGTGCAAACTATGGCATGTTTACATTCAAATTAATCATTATCTTTTAATCTTCTATTAAATTTTATAAGCAAAAAACAAAAACTCAATCTAAAGGACATAAATTAACAATTAAATACTTCACATCACAGGTGCCAACTGTCAAACATGTCACTGTCACCCCTCCCTCCCTCCCTACCCCCCACCTTCCCGAGAAATGTTTGGGGATTTTCACTGGGCTTACAGTTTTAATCATATATAATATCTCAGACTAAAATTAGGAGAATATAATTTGCATTGCTGGAATCCTTGCAAGACAGCGAATAATTTGAATATATTCGTCATATATTTTGCACAAAAGATAAAATTTTTGCTCTCTAATAAAATCTTAAATTAGATCTAAAATTTGTATGTCTAATGCAAATTATAGCTTGTTTATATTCAAATTAATCACTATCTTATAAGAATTCCGGCAATGTAAATTATATTCTGCCCTGGTCATTTCTATGAATTTTATGAGCTAAAAACAAAAACTCAAATAAACAAATTATACTTCACCAGAAGCACTATCTGTCAATCAAAATACAGCTCACCCCCCCCCCCCTTCCCAGACAAAAGTCTGGTATTTTCATTAGGCTTTAAAGTGTTTATCTTATATAATAAGTTAGGAGAATATAATTTGCATTGCTGGAATCGTTGCAAGACAGCGGATAATTTGAATATAAATATCATATATTTTGCACAAGAGAAAGTTAATCACCTGTATCACATTACAGTAGTGATTTAAGAGTTCTAGTGTATATGTATGATATATATAGTTATTTAAGGGCAATTTATGGGAATTTTAGGAGTGTTTCTGACTTTATGCATTTTGGGCGTTACTTTGTATATACTTTTCTGTGAGCTGGAACCAGTTACCCAATATCCCATTGACCCAATATCCCATTGAAACAATGGTTTCGGTTAACGAACGACCCTCTGGAACAAATTGAGTTTGTTAACCGAGGGACCACTGTACTACAAAAAACAATGTTTTGTTTATTCTAGGAGATGGGCTGAGGTGCATCTGGGTAGACTCTCAGTCTTTTTAGTATTTTGTGTTTCCCTCAAGTACCAAACTAAATTATTCCATTGAAAAAACACTTAAATTTAGTGCAAATTTGGTTTAAAGCGACCTCTCTTGGAACGTATCTCGCTTTATATCGAAGTTCTACTGTATCCAGGCAACTACCAGGTTCATCTAATCGGCACCAAAATGAAGTAATAAATATAAAAATTCCTCCAAAATCAGAACCTTTTTTGTAATGAGATCTTATCATTCACTCCCACAGATTGAGTTGACTGCTGGTGTAGTGGTGGAAGTGCGTGTGAGTGCAGTAGTGAGTGGATGGGAGTTGTGGGTGCAGCAGCCTCTCCACCCATCATACTCTGCTCTCCATCGCCTCCAGTCTTGCATGAACCTTAATTATGGCGATGGATCCAACACTCCACCTCTTCCCTTACCTGTTCAAGGTGAGTTACTTGTAATGAAATCATAATTTATTGCTGTCTTCCCATTTAATGAAGACATTATTATTTCCAAAATTCCAAAAATTCCCGAATCCAGTTTGTTGCCTATCCTGAGTCTGTTGGATTATTGATCTACAGTAATACCCTGATGAAAGCTAATTCACTACAGGTATACCCCAAAAACCGACGCTTCAATAACCGACAATTACATACCCCACAAGTTTCATTGATACCCTAAAGATCAGACGATCAGGAGATGAGCGGCAGAGCTGTTTTTAATTTGGCAGGCTGTGGTGTGGTGCAAATTCTTGCCACGAGAGAGAGCTCTGTATGCTGCCTCTGACTCATTCCCTCCTCTGTGCTCTTGTACTGTAAACACTTACCTTGTGTCTCTGACTTCATGTTTTTTCGTAATTTCCGACTTCGTTTGTTATGCAATCATGCCTAAATGCTCCAGTGATAATTCCTCTTGTGTTGCCCCTAGTAGGGGCGCTCTCACTGCTCGAATCTTATTTGTCAGTGTGATCCCAATGTGTGATGGTTGGTGGAACCATTTTAGTCCCAGTCCCTTTGCAGTTTGAAGTCCCACAGGGGACCACTTTTGTTTACAGTATCCCAATAGTCTAGCATCTCTGCTATGCCAATGATACACAGCTTTATGTAAAAATAACTGTTTAGGATATTGAGGAGATAATGAAATCCTTGATGTCTGATATTAAGATTCGAATAGTTAAGAGAAAACTTAAAGCTGAATGACAACAAAACCAAGATAATTGTCATCCAAGGCAAAAGGAGGGGAGACGGCACAGGTGATTTTGGCTCTTTTAAACTTGGGGAAGTGCAACTCGGTCCTGTCAATTCTGTTCATAATCTAGGAGTGTACTTTGACTCAAAACTGAATTTTAAAATACAGTACACACAAAATTGGCAGTTAAGAGATGCAACTTTCATATTCAAAATCTATATGCTGTTAAACAGGTTTTGGATAGACAGTGTCTTGTGACACTATTACATTCATTTATTTTGTCTCAGGTCGACTATTTTAACTCTTTATGGGTGTGCATATCTAATTATCTACTGAAGAAAGTTCATTATTGAACAGGGTTGCCAGACTTATTTTTGCTCTCCCACTGAGGACTCCCACTACCCGATACTTGGTTGAATTACATTGGCTTCCAATTAATGCTAGGATAGAGTTCATACTGTGCTTAATAACTTTTAAAACACTAATGTATGGTGAGTAAGTATTTGGACAAACTAGTAATTCCATTGACTATATACACATTCTGAAATGATTTTGCATAGTAGTGGTGATCCTTCATGCCTTGAGGAACCTTGAGCAGTATAGGAATGTTCTTTTGCTGCCCAATCCTTTTCCTATACAGCACCCAAGTTGTACAATCAGTTGCCTGCATCCATGAAGTATCTGGCTTCTGTGAATGTCTAAGAAACAACTTAAACTTCTTTTTTTTTCTTTTTTTTTTAGCTTATGATCCTGAACAGGGTATGGTGATGGAAAAATACAGGGTTTAGGAAGTACAGTATTAAAACATAAGGGTATATGAATGATAGAAGTTGAACTCATTTTTTGTGATCTCTTATTGTAGTACAGTATTTCTTTTTATTCTCTTGTTTTTGACTTTGTAGTGTTTCGAGCGCTAGTGGATCCCTTAGAAGAACTGGCACTTTTGAGAAACAAACGACCAGCTATAAATTGTATTATTATTATTAATATTGTTATTATTATTATTATTATTATTATTATTATTATTATTATTGATGCATGTTAAATGTTTGAGTCATATATTGATGTGATTAATATTTCTCTGGTAGATGGGACAGTATGTGTGGCACAGATTCAAGGACAGTGGATGAGATGCCAGGCACTTAGTACAGTGGATGATGTCACCCTGGTTGTGTTGCTAGACTTGGGAGGGACAACATCTCTTCAGACGTCATCACTTAGACAGATCCGCTACGATTACATGTCGCTCCCTTTCCAGGCAGCCCAGTGTTTCTTGCATGGGGTACAACCAGTGAAAGGTTTGTATTACAAATATGTTTGTGTGTATGATGGTGAAAGTAATTTTTAAAGTCTTTTTGTGTGAAGTTCTACTATGAATAAAGGATTTTATTTTAAATTTTTTATTCCATCATTTGAACTACAGTAAAACCTCAATAAACTGGACTTCAAAATATCAAAATTCACTTTTTTCGGACTCTTGAAATGGTCTGGTCGCCAGAAATACTATAAAAAAAAGTTTATGAAATGGGGAAGATTAAATAAAAAAAACTTATGAAATGAACAACACTGTACAATGGTCCAATCAGATTTGCTACAGGCCTAATGAGAACTAAGACACTTGAGTATGTAAGCAGGCTGGGGCTGACGAATGTTACCACATTCATCAGGTTTATTGATTCAGTATTATATTCTCATATGATTGGCCTCTTATGGTTTATGGTTCATCAAGATTAATATAACATCTTCAGTAATAGTAAAAATACAATACTGTATAAGGATAAGCTGTATCAGAAGGTTGTTTACTCAAGTTGTGTTCGTGTGAAAGTTTTCAGTACATCATCTTACAACAGAGGTCACTAAAACACACTATAGTATTTGATATGAAGATACCTTCTTAAAAACGTTATTTACTACCTTTGAGTGTTATATGTTGACTTAGTTTGGCTACTTGTACACTTAGACAAATGATTAATGAATAAACCAGAGTATATGCAGATACATGATACTTTACACTACAATATTGCTTATTGTAAATACACTACAATAGTATTTATTAAGTGGTGATAAATACACTGCAATAGTACTGTATTTATGAAATGATGATAAATACACAACTGTACTGTACTAATTTACTAAGTGTTGATGACAGACAGTGTGGTAAGCAGATCACCTGTTTGCTCTTTGTAAACAAATGAGTATGAAATGACTCATGGTATTCAGTGTGGGATTCTTTTTTCATGAAAGCTGATTCATTTAGGATAATATTTTATCAACCTGGCACCAAATGATCCAAATTATATGAGAAGTGTGGTGGAATTGCATAAAGAAGTTTTACAGGAATCTTGTGGGAGAGATGGGGAGGGAGCCACCCACCCAGGCTATCCCACTCCCCTCTGCCAGCTGCTCCCAGATAAACATTCATCTTCCACATACAATAAACTCCTACACTTATTTGTTCTTATTTTTATCTTTATAATACTGTACAGTATACAGTTTTCTCTTTATTCATAAGACAAATTCTGTGGTTACTTACATATAACCATTTACAGTAAATAACAATCATCTTGATGACAACAGTTCTTGACAACCAGACTTACATGTATTATTTTCAACTCAGAAAGTTTGGTTTCATCTTTTTTTTATTTTTGATGTAATATTCTTTTAATAACCTTGTTATACACTTAATGACCTTAGTTGTTGAAGTGCAGTAATAACATAACAATTAATTTTCTTTCAACAGCTCAGATAAGCAGTGTTATCTGCAACTCTCTCCCCCATATATTCGCTTTTTCCGGAGTTTCTCATTTATCAAGGTTCTACTGTACTTAATGCCGTGGTTTTTTATTCATGTGCACTGCTGCCTCCTGGATGTTGTCTCTCTCAATTGGATTACAAGGTAAAATTGACTTGGATAATGCCTCCTCAATTTTCCTTGTAATTCAATTGTCAGTAGGAACATTATACTGTAGAATCTAGTCTCATTAAACATACCGAATCTGTCAACATGAATTAGAGTAATGGCATGTACAAACTGGACAATTTTGTAATTAAGAAAATTTGTAACCAGGTGGACACCTGCTGTCCCTAGGGATTTGATCTCCTTTACTGTATACATTAGCGTTGTCAATAATTACTCCTTAATCTATACCCACCCCTGAAGAAGTGAATTACTCGAAAGTGCTTAGTAATGGCACGGACAACTTTGTGATTAAGAAATTGGTGAGGGTTGGGTCACTACCTTATGACCTGAATATGGTGGACACCTGCTGTCCCTAGGGACTTGATCTCTCTCTCTCCTCTACTGTATATATTAGCCTTGTCAATAATCACTCCTTTGTCTGTACTCACCCCTGAAGATGTGAATTACAGGAAAGCACTTGGGAAATTTGTGTTTTCTTGTTTCCTATGTGGTCATCAGCATATATATATATATATATATATATGCAAGTAAATCACTGTAGGTGCGCGTGATCTAGGTATATGCCGATAACCACAAGGAAAGAAGAAAACACTTCGTGTTTTCTTCTTTCCTTGTGGTTATCAGCATGCATATATATATATATATATATATATATATATATATATATATATATATATATATATATATATATATATATATATATATATATATATATAATATATCAACGAACTCACCAGCAAGGAATCGAACCCTCGACCTACTGGGTGTGACTAGGGAACGCTTACCGGCTATATATGTTATATGGACTAAAAATGAAGTATATATATGTACCTCGCGTTTCATACCAGCTGGATTCGGTAAAATGCTACTGACACCACATAAGAGGCACGGGCAGTTTCCCAATGAGGTTCACGGCGCCATCAGCTCGATGAACAGGCTTTGTGTGAAATATAACAGAGTCTAGAACTGCTTTTAGTGTCCTTGTGGCCTAGCCGGTAAGCGTTCCCTAGTCACACCCAGTAGGTCGAGGGTTCGATTCCTTGCTGGTGAGGTCGTTGATTATATGTTCAAAGT